GACTGTGTTTAGGTTTGTTTAGTTGGCACAGGCACAGAAGTTCCAAGGCAATATCTGAAAGATGCTGGACTTTGATAAAGGGTAGGCTTGCAGGCATGAAGGCGAGATGCAGCAACCCTGGAGGCAAACTTTTGGGGAGGGAGGAGGAGGCAGCATGCACTGCTGTTGGGATGATTGTTACAAGCCAGATCAAGATGCATGTTTGTGCAGACAGGGCGAGCTGGAAATGAAAAGAATAAATGATAAATCATAACCTCAGAAACTAATTCCAACCTCTTTTCCACGGAATTGCCCTATAGTCAAAGCCAACAACATTCAAATTATCTAATGTTCTTATGAGCATTGCTGTAGAAGCAGAAACTGGTAACTTTGTTCTGCTTTCCAATACTGTTTTGTGGTCAGGTTTCTGTAGACAGGGAAGTTCAGCTCTTGCACTGCTTAGCACAATGCTCTATAGCTTCCTAATACAGTTCTGTCTTGCAGGGGAGGGACTGTACTCTTAATGGCCTATTTAACTTTCTTGGTTGAGGCTTGTAAACTCTTACTCTGTTCTGATTTGGAACAATCCTGCATTTCCTTTTCAATAGGTTCAAGGCATTATTTAAATGCTTATAAGCGAGAAAAAAAACTCCTGAAGACTATTGTAGCATTTGACTAATAGTGAGGAAGGTCTGTAAGGGGGTTACTGCTGGAGAGATTTAGCAAAGTTTAGGAACTGAATGTACAACACAGCTCAGATGCTGAGGCAGCTTGTGTGTTAATTCAGTCTGGAATGACAGCTGCTCTTAAGTTGGCACTGATATTCCTCTGAACAGAGAGGTCTTGTGCTCTGCTGCTGTTTCTCTGCATACTGAAATGTAAATTGTGAATAATTAATCATGAACTGGGAAATCCCAGGTCTGCTTATTAAAGAATTTGGGGGGGATGGGGGAACAAAACAGAAAAAACCCCTGCCCAGATCCAGAATACCATCTGGAAAGCTAAAGGACTAAGAGATTCTTTCAAGTATGATGTAACCTTTCTCATTAAGAAAAAAAAAAAAACTAGAAACTAGTTTTCTAGTTTTTAGTGAGACTGAAAGCATCTGAAATTCTGAAACTTTTGAAATGTTCTTATTGTTCCCTTTTTTTACCTTATGAGCTTAACAAACACTAAAGCTAGTCCCAACTTTTAATGGGCTCTTCAAACTGCCATGAAGAGACAGCCAAGGTCTCTTAACTTACTTCAGTCTGCCTCAGTGAACCCTCGACCATTCTTCTTCTATTTGGCATGTTTGCCTTTTTATTGATGGAGGTGTTAATTAGGGAAGAGAAGTAAAACTAGAGTGTGATTAAGTTGCAGTTGCCTTAAGTCTGGGTGAAAAAATTGGCCTGCCCAAGAGCTTAAAGACTGCTGTTTAGATTCAAGTTACGGTGTCAGAGAATTGATAGCCCTTTATTTCTTCTATTGCATTGATTTTCCATCTCAAAGCTTAACTAGAAAAAGTATATTGAAGTAAAATTATAATTTTTAGAAGTTTCTTTAATTGAAGAGGTCTTTAAAATAGCAACTACAGAAATATGAAGAGAGGAAGTAGGAGATTTGCAGAAGAGGTGATTTGGCAATTGTGATTTAATCCCATAGTAAACAAATGGATTCAAATAAAGCGTACATTGGTCTTCATTCCCCAATTATTTCACTTCTGTGAAATTTGTGGTAAAAGCACTTGCTGCTACTGCAGTACAATTCTGATTTCTGACTGTGCTTCTAATTTGTATGTGAGCTCAGTGTCTGGGTTTGGGGATTAGCTGTCAGTGTTCTGGATGCCTGCAGTAGCAGAAACTTCTTCTGAAAGGTACCTTTAATCCTTGTTTGTCCTACTTGTGTGTGCCCCAAATGGAATCAACTTTGCAAGATTGCTTCATATGGTTTCTGTTGGGTTCTTCATCTGTTACTTATTAATATTACCTGTTTTGTATTAGCAAATGTACCTGTGACTTCCTTGGAAGACTAAGCTTTATTGTCTCTTGTCCACCTAGAAAATATCTGAATCTGTGTATTTTGAAAATGTAGTTTCTAGATTTTTTTTTCTTGTATATGATTTCTTTTTCCTTGTATATGTTTTTCCTTACCACATTAAAGTAAAATTAATTTTTCCAACTCTTATTTTAAAATTTAGCTTAGCCACCAAACTCTGCTTCTCAGTTTCTTAAAGTTAGCTGTGCTGGTGCTTCATTCCAGATGCTGATGGTTGCTGGTGAAGCTGAGACTCTCTTACACTGGGAAAAGAAAGCCAGGAAATTTGAATACCTTATCTTTGTGGTGTGACTAAATGGGAAACAGCTCTGCAAGAATTATCCCCCCCACCCCCAATCTCCTTTTTCTGGCCTCAGATGACAAGTGACATCTTCATGCATGGTTTAATTCTTTTCTGTGCACTGAAAGTAGTAGACTTAATTTTAATCATGCCTCTTTATTTTGCACACTATAATTACTCATGTCCTAAAACATTCAGAGCTGCAGACTGAGATGCTGTACCCTCCAGCAGTTTGGAGAGGAGACAGAAATGACTGAGTGACTAAAGAAGCAGTGCTGTGGCATTATACAGTAGTGCCTTGTTGCCTCCATTGCCAGCATTTCTGTGGATGGACTCCTCTGAGGTTTCATTAACTAAAGTGCACCGATGGAATGCACAATTTATAGTGTCCTTCTTTCACAGAAATCCACATACTGAAGTGCAAGACAGAAAGCTTACAAATTTGATGTATTTCCTTATATTAATAAGACAAATGCTGTCACCTGCAGTAAAATCTGAGCTGGGTAAACAGTGAGTAAGCCACTTGTGACTTGCTTCTAGGCTTTTACAAACCACTGTCTTCAGTAATGCATTAATCAGCAGTAGAGAATAAAAGATCATTGGCCTATTTGTACCACAAGATCAAGGAGAATTCTTGGAGCTCTTTGATCTTGAACTGCTGTCATTCAATAGCATGGCTTTGCTACTATAATACTTTGTCTGCAGAATTGCCTCCTTCAAGGGTATTATTACTGAGGTTACAGAAGTAACCACATTTCAGAAGGTGTTTGCAAAAAAAATTCAAACCCAACTTCCATAACCAAGACAAAAAAATGCCATGATAACATATATTTTCAATTCAAACTTGACAAACAGATCACAAAATTTTTGTCTCCTGTATCATCCCAAAAAATCATTCCCCTGGCCTGAAACTGAGTACAACATGCAGCTTTTATGCCCATACCATAAACAATTTTATATGCAAGCAAGCGCTCGGTTTTCCCAAGCTTGTGACTGTGAGCTAGAGATTTCTTGGATCTTAAATAAAATAAGACTTTGTAATAGAATGTAAAAAAACCCATAAAGACTACGTGCCAGGAATTTTATAAAGACCCAAAGCAACCAATGAAACTAATAAACAAAATCTGAACTTTTGAATGCTTCTGTTACAGTGGTGTGAGTTTCTGTACACACCAGGTGGGTCTCAGTCGCTGATGTGACTCATTGATCTATTTAGACAGGTTTGTCCTCTGGACTTTTCCTGTCCTGCAAAGGCAGAATCAGTAGTTTAATGCTGAGCCTTGACTTTCCACTCTTAGTAACATTAATGTTCTCCATTGCTTGGGATTATGTAGGGGAGGGAAAGGAAGTCTGCCAAGTGGTGACCCTACTGCCCAAGTGAATTGAACTCCTGTAGACTCGCATAGTTTAAGTGTGCAAGGATCAGTCACAAAATATTCTGTCTGCTTTTGAGGTAGAATATCTATCATCACTGAATGACTTGAATAGTTGGAGGAAAATTTCTAGTTTGGAGGTGGGGAAGAAATCATTAACAATGATTCCTCTGAGGGAAAGTAAAAGATGAGCATTTTTGTTTCTGATAATGCTTAGTCTAGTAAACTTTAACCAGTCTTGTTAAACTTTTACATTTTTTCTGCTTAGGTTTTCAAATTTTAAGCATTAGCCCTACAATTAGAGCCGTGTTTTGTGCTCTTTGTGTGTCACGAAATAATCTCCTTGAGTCTGGCTAGGGCTGTGTCTGGCATCACACAGGTTTTGGGCATGCAGTTGCAGTATGCAGTTTCCAGCTGTGTCTCAAAAATAGGTGATAGCTTGTAGAAGGTAATTACTGACTGCCTAACTGGAGTTGGTAAATAACAGGGGATGTAGTAAATCACAGATCCTGTGGGATATAGAGGATAGTGGAAAGCTTGCTGCCCTGCTGTTTATAATTTAACTGCTTACCTTCATTTCATGAACTCTTCTGTGCAAGTTTACGTATTCTTAATGTACAGGACACCAAGCTGTATGTTACTGTTTTTCCATGAGACAGTCTAATGTCTTACTTCCTCTATGTAAGGTGCAGTTGCTTCAGTATAAGCTAATGTCATTCCTTGTGTTCTTTTTTGCGGTTGAAGAGGTCTTAATGCATGCCTGAACACACTCCTCTGCTTTCTGGGTCTGCAGAAACTCTAGGAGGTGTGCTGGAGCTTGCTGATTAAAACAACCTCTGGGATGACAGATTATCTGTTTCTAGTGATGCCTCTTTTTGCTGATGTGACTGGGTTCAGTGTGCTTGGCATGTTACCTGCAGGTGAAGAATGCAATAGTACTTATTTCTCTAACCCAGAGGTAATGAACTGCAACAATTAACTCAAACACCTGCAAGCAGTAAAGTCATATGATGTTGTGCACCCCGACTTCATCTGGGATAAAGATGGAGAAATGTTTGGTCATAGCTCAGGACAGAATTGTTGGAAAACTATTATCATTGGATGAAAGAGTTAGAACACTGTTGCTGTCAGCATATACTAATATAATCTCAGCTTGGGTTTTTCATTTGTGGTGGTGTTTTTGTTTCTTTTTTTTTAATGTGGAATGTAAGCACTGAACTTCCTGTTTGTCACAACAATGGCCTGCAGCTTGGTGGTCTCAGAACTTGGCCATGCTGCAAACTTTTTATCATACTTGTAGCACCTAACACCTTATTTTCTCTCTCCCTCAGACTTGATCCAAGCAACTAATGAAACAAACGTGAATATCCCTCAGATGGCCGATACGCTTTTTGAACGAGCAACAAATAGTAGCTGGGTGGTTGTATTCAAAGCCTTAGTCACCACACATCATCTAATGGTCCATGGCAATGAGGTAAGCGTGAACAGCTCTCTCAAGGCCACCTTGGCACTGAACACACTCCAAGCCAAAAGTGTTAGTAGTACAGAGGCATCTTGTCTGAGCCAGAAATGATCTGAGAACAAAGGGCAAGATTGATTCTTGATGAAGAGAAAACTTCTGGTTAACAACAGAGTTGGACAGTTTATGTGTCTGTCCATTTACAAAACCATAACATAAGACCAAGATGCAGTCTGTGCCAGGATGCTTACAATCTATGCACTGAATCTGAAAACAGCAACACAATATTAAACACTACCTGGGATTTTTTGACTGAGGTTAAAGTTGATGTTCTGCCACGTGTATATTGCCATCCAAATAGTTGCCTTCTCTGCATGAGTGTTAAAATCTTCCTAGAGCTGTAAATTTGACTTGATAGCCTTTTAGATCAAGTTCTCCTTATCCTTGCTTTTTATTGACCTGTATAGAGAGGTATGTCTGGATAAAAACAGACAGCACATTTAAAGAACATCAGTACGACTATGAAACAACTTCAGTGTGACTGTGAAACAATTCCTCCCTGCCTGTATATAAAGTGTTTTCATGCAATGAACTTCTCACAGTGTAAATTCTTACTCCTATTTTTCCATTCCAAGTTTTGGTCAATGTTCTCATCTGATTTCTCTAACTGTTTCAGGCTGTTAGTCCCTGTATTTGATGAGGGGCTTTGCTTGTTATTAAAACAGGCCCTTAGCTTGGCTGAAACTGAGGACTTCTGGCTTGAGAAGTCTGGGACTAGCCTGGATATATGCTTTGTAAGCAATAAATCTTGAGCTCCCTCAAATCCCTGAGAATTAAACATTTTTATTGCTCCTTTCACAATCTATTTTGTGTTTTGTGCATAATCTATTTTTATATATACAGTAGAATATTTACTAGAGATTCTGACTAAAAGTAGTTATTCTGAATGGATAAAATGTTTTGGGGAAGGTATTGTGGGCTAAAAATCAGTGGTTTCATGTTGTATTCTGAAAGTGGACTGGTAATCTTGCTGCTAGAAGGCACAAAGCCTTCAGATACAGCCTGTGATAAGAAAAATGACTTTGTGTTGCAGAGATTTATTCAGTACCTGGCATCTAGAAACACATTGTTCAATCTCAGCAATTTTCTGGACAAAAGTGGATCTCATGGTAAGCCTACTTAAGTCTATAATTTTAACAAGATTTTAAATAAGATACTATTGTTAATTTTCTCCTTAATTCATAAAATATAAATAATATAAAAATGTGCTTGCTACTGAAGCCTTTTTATAAGTGCTTAATAAATACAGAGGCACAAGTGAACTGATGAAAAACTTCAGAACAATATTTCTCTTCTGCAATATTTTTACTCAAAAGGTGAAAGTGTACAAATCCTTTAAGAGCTGGTTGAAATCTGGGCTGGTTGAAATCTCAGCTATCTCCTTAACTCTTATGGGTGTTAGAAGTTGAAATGGAAACCTTTCCATTTAGTTTTTTTGGTTTTACTCAGTCTTAAATGGTAATTAGGTTGCCTGAGGACACTGTGCTTTTTAGGCATTGTCTATAACTTCTTAGTGGTAGGGCTGTTGGCACCAAAAGAACTGGTTGGTTTTGATTTGATTAATGAATTTAGAAAGGTCTAGGCAGAAATTAAGGACTTGTTCCTTCTGAATCTTACAAAGCCTGCTTTTCTACTTTTCCCTCTGGAATTATTAGTGAATTTTCCTGTGCCCTCAATTAACAGAGGAAAAGCTTGTTTCATGGTAGCTCTACCAGAAAAGAGGGAAAATATAATTCTTCAGCTGTCAGAGAATATTTGTAAATTGTATGCAGATTACAGACATGCTACAATAATGGACAAATTCAAAGCAATGCCACATTATTTGATCTCTCGATGTAGACATGTGACACCAAAAAAAGTTTAGCATCTTTTAGATGTGGTAACAGAAGGAACAAAGCTAAATAAATACTGAGAGTGTGTTCACCTAAGCTAAGCATGATATATGTGTGTATAGGTATGCTCGAAGACATTGGTGTTTGGCAACAATTAATTCAGTTAAAGACATGCATTTGTGTTCTTCACTACTTTCTTTAAACTTAAATTACCATTTCATAAATAATACACAGTGTATCATAGACAATGATTAAATTGAGGGGTGTGGATTTTTAGAAAGGTAGCAAAAAGGGACCTGAGTTGAAGAGGAAGATGAGTTTCCTTCTGCACACACTTCTGTGGCTTAGAGGAAGAAACTTAGGAGGATAGGCTGTAATACTAACTGCTCAGATGTCATAGGCTTGAAAGTCACTGAAGTTTGAGGCACCTTGTACAGTATTATGTGCCTTGAGTATTTCTGGTGTACCAGTTCAAGGAAGGCAGTAATCTCTGTGGATGCCATCATTGGTAAACCAAGTCAGGGGAATTTTGAAGGTCCATGGAAGAATCAGAGTGGCTAACATACTCTTGAAACATCAAGAGTGTTTAAGTTGAACCTGAGCTTTGTCCTGGAAGTCATGTACCAGTTCAGTATTTTTGTTTTGTTAAATTGGTATTTTTCCTTGTTAGTAGAGGGGTAACTTTTTGGCCATCAAGTAATGTTACCCCATAACTATGTAGGGCACTCTAGCAGGTTTCCCCTAGAACCATACCAATGGTGCATTGCATGAATCTGTTGGAAACAGAGAACAGTGGTAGATTGTTTTGGTGTACCACTACTGATTTTTCTTTAGAAGCTGAAAGATGCCTTGTGATGCCTGTTCTGTATGTGAAACTGCATAGTGTAACAGAAATCACAGAATCTTGGGGTCTGTTGGCTGTATCTTGTTGTTTACTAAAGAACTTCCAAACAAGCATGAAAATTAAATGTGAAATGTGAAACTTTTTTGCAGGTTATGACATGTCCACCTTCATAAGGCGTTATAGTAGATACTTGAATGAAAAAGCATTTTCCTACAGACAAATGGCATTTGACTTTGCAAGAGTGAAGAAAGGGTAAGCAAAGTTTAGATACGTAAATAAATAAGGTTGTCTGACCCACGAAAATCTTATATGTGGCATTACAGTTAGTTTCTCAATGACACTGTTGTTATATACTTTGTGTAACTACAATGAAAAACCTGATTTTTAAAGTACTTTTAATTGGTTAAAAATTGCCCAAAGGTGAGAGGAAAGACTGGGTAGTAAGACAAATATTGAAGGCCAAAGGTGCCTTGCAAAACTGGGAGCTTTTAGTGTAAGGTTTAATTCTTACCCTACTTAAATTTTGCTGCAGTGAGATTGTGTTTAGGATTTGGGGAAGGAAACACTCTGAAACTATGTTTAGGATGTTTCATTATTCTCCAGACACTTTCCCTAAGAAAGATGGCTGACTGTAAACAAAGCCCTAAGTGAATGCCTGAGGATCTTGGCAGGCAACAGGGCAAACAGTTATAAACTGAACAGAATAAGGCTGTAAACTGCTGGTTTCATTCCCACAAGAACTGTATTTAAAAAAAAGTTGACCCAGCCCAGAGTAGCATGTTGGTATTTATGAGAACTCTTTTCTGGTCTCTGACTCCTCTTAAGGGCTCTAGATGCTCTCTTGAAGCACAGTTGGCACAGCAAGTGGCTTAGCATCCACCGAAGGTGCAGCTTAATTGAGTGCATGGTAAAGATGCTCCTGCTAATCATGAGTTACATATAGGATCCTTCTGGCAGTTCTGGTGTGCTCTGCAGCTTGGAATTCTGACCTGTTAATGCAGGCGTCACTACCAGGCTGTTCTCTCCTGCTTCTCAAACAGCCAGAAAGTGTAGGGTCTACCATGGCAGTTTTGCTCTGTAGCTGGATGTCATTCCCTTAATGGGGACCATACAAGTTTATTCTTGAACACTTGATGTTAAATAAACTTAAGCTTGGGCTGCTGGGGATTGTACTGTTCCTGCCTTGCTTTAAACTCCTGGTAAGGCTTTCTATGCCTGTTATTTCTGGTGCCCAGAACAAGGTGTGCTGCCTCAGAATATAACATAAATTAAGTAAGAATAGTGTGCATTTCCAGTCTGCAAATATATGTACCTGTCTGCAGCCAGAACAGGGCAATATATAATGATGGTTGTGCAGACCATAATAAGTTAGTCATAATCAGAGATAAAAATGACCATGCTTGAAGACTGCTATAAGACTATGGATGACACTTAGGAAATGCTACACATCCATGGACATGTCAGCAATGAGTTGCCATTAGTTACTCATAACAAACTTTGTGCACAAAGTGCATCAGTTCTCTAAGTACTTCTGTGGCAATATTTCTAGTTAGTCATTTAAGCACCCAGCGTCATCTTTCCATAAAGAGATCAATCTCTTGAATTCATCACTCCAACACAAAACCTTTCCTCACTTGCTGTCAGGAAGGGTGGCTGGATAAGGGATTTTTCATGCCAGCTCTCACAATGACAGAAGCAGGAGAATCAGACTGTGCTTTTGAAATGGTTTGAAATGAGTTATAGGTGCTTCAAGCATAAATTTTAGACAGCAGATCAGTTTGGGGAAAGGGAAAGAGAAAACAGCATGGCTTCTAATCTGTATTTCCTCTTGCAGAGCTGAAGGTGTAATGAGAACAATGGCTCCTGAAAAGCTGCTGAAGAGTATGCCAATATTACAGGAACAAATCGATGCACTACTTGAATTTGATGTATGTATTGAAGCTGACTTAGTATTAACCCTAGGCAGTGACTTATAAATGATGCATTATAATTAGCACATTTCAACTTTTAGGTAATACTTTACTCATGATCCTTTAGTGAGGGCCAAAAAATCCCCTTTTCAGTGTCCCACTGAGGTGTTTTGGCTGAGGATGGCCCTTGCCCAAATGTTTGAAATGTAAAGATTGTACTTTTAGTTTTGTAGAGAGAGAACTTGGAGTTTCAGCTTCTGCATCAGTGAGGGGAAGAAATGGACAAAGCAAGGAGACTGAATACACTATTTTCTGTCTCTTGGCAACCAACTTCTCTTGAGGGGGGAGGGAAAACCCCTTTAAAATACCACATGTTTGTTGTTTGGCTTCCTCAAAATCTTCATCTGTTTTTCAGCTGTGAATTAAATTGGCTAAAGTTTAATCTAGACTATTCATAGAAATAAGGGTGTACAATATATTTATCATGTCATGAATGTTGGTGGGATTGTTTGTCTGACCTAAGGATAAAAACAGGAATCAGTTGATGTAGGAGCCACAGTGTAACATTTCAAAGAGGTTTTTGAAGAAATTGATTCTTCTATTGTTGGTAGGCAGCAAGATACACCTCGAGGTGGAAGGCAGAGCCTACTACAGCTCTCAGAGGAAAGGCTTTGAAGTACATGTCTCATTGTGCTTTCCATTCCTTAAATAGCATAGGAATTGTGATAGTGCTCTCAGAAGAAGAGATATCTTTAAGAAAAGAAAGACCTTTTAATAAATGAGCACATATTTTCTTCCCAAGTTAATGTGAGAAGGGATCTCGACATCATTAGTCACACATTAAATACATTATGTCATACATTTATGAGATAAATACATAATCTCATAGACTATTAAGTTTTTGTTGAGCTCTGCTGTAAACTGACATTTCATTAAAACTGTAAAACTGCTTTCCTCTTCTTCATAATAAGTGGAGGAGACAAGATGTTTACTGATGATGTGGATACTCCTCTGCTGTAGTGGATTGTTTTGGAGTGGTGAAGAAAGCAATCCTTGATCTGCTAACCAAAGCTTTTGTTTAGTGTCTTAGCATGAAAATTTTAGTGCTTGATTCCATCTATAACAGTACCAAATACATGGTGTAAGCCAAAATGTTTGATTGCATTTGACACTTGATTTGTAAATAACTGTTATTTTATTTGTAGGTTCATCCAAATGAACTGACAAATGGTGTCATAAATGCTGCATTCATGCTTCTGTTTAAAGATCTCATCAAACTTTTTGCTTGCTACAATGATGGGGTTATTAACTTACTAGGTAAGTAACCTGGCTTTTATCTCACATGCCATATGTGAATGAAGAATCGGTTTTCAGGTCTGCTTCAGTTTTTTTACTTAGCTTTCATTAAAGCTACATTTTTCTTGACTCTTCTAGTCTGAAATGAGAAAAATATTTAAGCTGTACCCTTTTACATTAGTGCTTATCTGAGGCTGGATCATCACATGTCCTTAAAAGTGGGTAGATGGTTACTTTAAAGACAGTGACCATCTCTGTGCTTAAAGAAATGTGCAGAGCTGTGTGAGCATGCATAATATGCCCTGCAAAGTTAGAAGCTTTTGCTTTTTTAAGATGGCAACATTCTTTTGTTATATATCACAGAATCAATTAGGCTTGAAAAGACCTCTGAGATGATCGAGTCCAACCTGTGACTGTACACCACCTTATCACCTAGACCATGGCACTGAGTGCCACATCCAGTTTCTCCTTAATCACCTCCAGGGATGGTGACTCTACCACCTCCCTGGGCAGCCCATTCCATAAATGGACTTCAGAGGCCTACTTAAGTGAAAAAAATACAGTTCTTTGGAGTGAAGACAATTTGGAGAGGACATATATTAGTATATGTTTAGATATCCTTAATTATTTTGAACTTTAGTTGGATGGCTGTGTCACCTGCTTACTTTTCAGTCATTAAAAAAGTGGTTGACATCACACACAACGCTGTGGCTAGCTGAGGTTCAGTTTTATGGTTTATATAATTCTGTAGCAGCTCAGCAAGCCCAACTTCTAAACTATATTAGGCAAGAGATGCCACTAATGTCCAAATAGTAAATGTAAATGTAGTGTCATATTCTTGACACGTGATTTTTCTGAAAACAAGATTTGCTGATATAAGACCTAATGTAAGACATCTTAACTGAAATTTGCCACATTATTTCTTTAGAGAAATTTTTTGAAATGAAAAAGGGACAATGTAAAGATGCTCTTGAAATCTACAAACGATTTCTAACTCGAATGACCAGAGTATCTGAGTTTCTTAAAGTTGCAGAGGTAAGTGGCTTTTGGTCTTCTGGAGGTTGGCACTTAAGTATGTTGTGATTTTGTTTGGTTTTGGGTTTTGTAGGGGTTTTTTTTTTCTTGTTTGTTTGTTTTTTTATTTGTTTGGTTTCTTGTTTGTTTTCTGCACCAATGTAAACTATTAATCGCACATTTTAAGCATCTGTCTCAATGGATCTCAGATCCATTCAAACCATCCAAGTGGATCTGGATCTTGGATCTGCTTCTTCAGGTCTTGTAGCTAAGCCCAATTAGGACTTCCACATGTCTCTGTGGTGCTGCCAAACTCAACTTTCCTGGTTAAATTAACAGTTGACATGACTTCAAATGTTCTAATATTTTTGAAAATGCTATGATAAATGCATACTTCTAGGACAGAGTTGAACATTAGAGGAAGATATGGCAATTAGGAATAGAAGCATGCAGACTTTTAAGTCTGTTTTTTTAGTCTTTGCAGCCAACATTAAGTTAACTGTAATGTGAGATTTTCCCGGTTTTATTCCTTGCTCTCATCCTCTTATGTGGATAATAGGAATATTACATGGTTAATTAACTCCTTTGCTGGACTCTCATTTGTGGTAGCTGGCTCTTTGTGCCAGGGTGCACATTTTCCATGTTTCATGCTTCATTATAATGGACAGTAGTAATGAGCTGAATAATACGTTTGTTTCTTTGCTAATTCACTTATCTATGGAGAAGCCTGATAGACTCCTTAATGACTTGTAACGTCAGATATGAATATTGAACTTGAGGGTGTAGAGTACTTTAGAGACACAGGTCAGCTTTTTGAAGAGGAATTATCTTGACTCTGCTTCAGGATTACGAGGTGCTTGCTCTTCTTCTGCAAAAGCTGAACTAGCAGTCACTCCAAAGAACCATAGTGTGAAGCAACAGGGCTATTAATAGAAGATTGCAGACTTAGACCTCAATTTGCTGTCCTCTGAAACAACGGTATATGACCAGTGTGTTCAGTATAGAGTGTGAGTTTCATGTGTATTTAAAATCTAGCTCCATTTTCTTATCCTTTTATTTTAAATGGATATTTAATTTGTGGGAAAAAAAAAAGGAAAAGACTACTGCAGGTTGTTGAAGGTAGCTACTGGAAAGATGGACATGTCCTTTCTAACTTTGTAGTATTTTTCTAAAGACAGGGTGCATTATAACTTGAAGAGCAGTTCTACTAAAAATTAATGCCTGCTGCAGTGGAATAATGCACTTAGATTTTACATTTACTCTTTTATCTCCACAGCAAGTTGGAATTGACAAAGGTGATATCCCTGATCTTACACAGGTAAGCTTCTCTTGTATTCTTTTTGTATTTGTGAAGTAAAAGGAAGGAAAGCACACTAGGAATGCAAACGTTAGTGAAGTCATACCACTCAACATGCTGTAGCTGCTGGTCCATTTTAAGTATCATTTCCAAATTGGCCTGGGTGCCTGGCTTTGTATTTAATGTGAAGACGATATCTACTTAGAGGAGATCCATGCTGAAGAGTTCACCTGTTCACCTTTTTATGCCAATTAGAACAGAAGAGCAGCCCAAACTACTTAGCAGCTGCAAACCCCAACTGTTCATATAGTTTTTGTTCATGCAGTTTTTGATAGCCTCTTGAAAGCCTGGTTTAAATCCACACCAGAATAGTGTCTCTCTCAGTTAAATGCCACTTAAGAATTCTGAAAGTGAGACATTATGGGAAGGTGGAGATTAATAATCTTTGTGGATTTCAGATACAATAGGATTGTAAAATCTGGCCACTCTTCCAGCAGACAAAAGCAGCATGTGCAATGCCAGACCTAATCTTGAAACAGCTGACATAGTATCTTCCCCTAACTCTGTACCTCAGGGAGTCTTTTTTTAACACAGTGCAGTCAGTGATGAGCTAAGTCCTTAAACCAGGAGAAATCACCTGGAACCCAGTTAATGAAATACACTTCATAAATTTCTGTGGCACTTTTATCTGCTTCTGCTTGTGTTGTGCCAGCCTGTTCTGTGTCATCAGTCAGTGCTGCAGTTGCTCAGCAGCACCTTAGTTACCACTGCTGGATGGTCCCTTCCACCCTGTGAGCCAGCACTTTAAAATAGAACAGTTCTTTTGGAAAGAAGGGGTCTACAATGATCATCTCATCCAGCTTCCTGACCACTTCAGTCTCTGCTCAGGTAGTCCCTCACAGCTGTATTCTCCCAAAGGCTGCTTGAGACTCACTTTCTAAGGCTAGCCTGAAACATGCTGTATAGCCTATGTATAAGACCCCGACAGCATATTTTAGAGAGAAATAAATAAAAGGTGAATAATAAAACAGGATTTCAGCTAACAATTAGTACATAATTCTATGTAGTATCAATGGTATACCTAAATTCCTATAGCAAGCCATGGCAATAGTCAATAGTATTCTGCAAGAAGTTGGTTGTGTTGGCACTCCACGTGTACATACTCTGTAAATCTACACAAGTGGTCCCAGTAGTGTACTTCAAGTTGATAGTTGTCATCTTTGGACTTTATAGTTTGGCTGCAAAGTTTTGAAGGCTGAGAAGGCATCTTAGCAGCTAAAAGTCTTTATTCTTTTTTGTTTACTAACATTTCCTAAACTATGACAGTTTTGCCCTAGTAGCTAATGGGGAAACCCTATCTAAGGTTCCAGCACGAGGCTGACTGATAGATTATCTAATGTTAAAACAGTATCTAAATCAAATTAAGCGATATTCAATGTTGCAAATTGGGTACCAGATAGTATTTCCTTTGCAGATTGTTATGTCTGGGTAGAAATTTTCTGAAGCTTCTTCTCTGAGTTCTGTTTGATAGCTAAGTTTTATATTACCTTGCTGGTTTTTAAGAAACCTTTGACTAATGTATTGGAAAGCTATCTAAAATGTGTAAAAATCTGAATCTCTTTGGATTTTTTTAGTTGGTTTTACTTTCTACTGGAGAATTCTTATAACTGGGTCACTTGTGTTTAACCAATTNTACCTTGCTGGTTTTTAAGAAACCTTTGACTAATCTTACATAGAGCCTTTTCGAATGTGTAAAAATCTGAATCTCTTTGGATTTTTTTAGTTGGTTTTACTTTCTACTGGAGAATTCTTATAACTGGGTCACTTGTGTTTAACCAATTCTTATTATGCCCAAATGAATTGAAAGTTAATAAATATGCCTGTAAAAGCAGCAAGGTCAAGATGTCTCTTCATTGCTTATATGCGTAGGATGTATTTAAACTGATCTGTCATTTACGATTATTTTGTGCGTTTTATATTTCTGGATGTGTTAAGTTACTGGTTTTAATGCTGAAATCAATATGCAGGTACAATCAATATGCAAGTACACAGCTGTGCATTGGTACTAGCAGGTGCTATGCATCCTGAAATATCTGATTCAGTCAGCCAGCTGGTTTTTCAGCATAGGAGCAGTGGATAGACTGTTCCCAAGCATCTTAAAGTGACTTGTTTGATAATTATGTCTGCCCTGAAATCAAAGATGTTATTTATGAAAAACATCATAGATATTGCTGTCAGGAATTGTGGTTGATCTGAAAGAGACTGATAAAGAGAATTCCCTGTTTAGAGACTGATGAACTTATGAACTTGTACCCTGATGAAATATTCAATTATTATATTCTACTGTGTCTCTCAAGGGTTTCTTCCCTGCTTGTTGATCTTCTAGGAGTCTACTTATCCAGACTCTATTTTTATACTAAGCCTAGTGTGCATTTACAACTACTTTTCCTATCTGCCATTGTAACAGCTAGTGCCTGTGGGTATTGGCTGCTGACCACAAAAAGGTTGCTTAAAATAAAACCTAAGATCAGTGATGCCTGAAAAAGCCTAGGTTTTTTTAGATGTCTAAAATAGCAATCTTTCTGTACTTCAGGCTAGTTGCACGGTAACCTGTGCCAGGGTACCATTTTGAGAACAGCTGTAAGGTTTTGTGATGTTGGGAGTCTTGAGCCAAAGGTAGCTCCTTCTGGGAGCATTGGAAAGGACTTAGTTTTGTTTAGGCTGCAAATGCTTTCTAACCCTCTGGTTATGAAAGAGGTGTTGGGGGGGTCTGACTACAAGCAAAACTGAAAGTGTGACCTTGAACCTACGAATCTTAAAACCAAGCCTGTGGATGCCTGTTCTGTTGTCAATGCTTAACACTGATTTAAAGCATGATGAGCAGCACATCCTGGATTTAGGCTTCAAGTGCTGTGTAGTGGAGGTAAACCTTTTCTCTCTGCAAATTTGCATGCAGTAATATATTTTTAAAAACTGGCTTTGCCTGAATACTTCTAGCATGGAAATCCACTGTTTCCACACTGATGTAAATAAAGTAACTTCACTGGGCACACACACCATGGACTTCAGGGAAGTTGATGCTGGATTTAGAAGTATGGTCAGATCACTGCAATGCATTGATATGTGTATCTTTCTCTTCACTTTCAAGGCTCCCAGCAGTCTCATGGAGACCCTTGAGCAACATCTAAACTCACTGGAAGGAAAGAAACCTGGCAACAAGTAGGTATATATGTTATACCATGTCTCTAAGAATAATAGAGACAGTGTGAGATAAGTTGATGTTTAGGTTTGCCTCCCCCAACCTCCTTTTGCCACTTAGCTAGAAAATAAGACAAAGCCTTTCCTTTACAAAGCCATCTTAATGACAACCTTTTCTTTAATTAATTGTGATGGGGGAAATACACAGAACGACTAGACACTTTCCAAAATGAACTAAAATTACTTGAGGAAAACTAGAAGGAACTTGGGGTTTGTGTATTGCTAAGGCTTTTATCATCAAAATCTACTTCTTTTCTAATGGTTTTGCATCTTCATACTAGATACTTGCCACGGCTAAGTCTAGGATGTATTAAGCTAAACCTTTGTTTTCTCTTTTACTGTTGCTATCCTTGCAATTTAGTGAAGGGTAAGTACATACCTTTATATATCACTTGCTTTCAGGCATGGTTATGTGTATTTTTAAGAGATTTTCTTGAACACTTAGAAATAGATATTTTCTTTGAGTTGAGCTAAACTGTACTTTGCTTTTGTATGTAGTCATTAAGTTATTTTTTTTGTCATTTCTCTGATTAGAAGATCTGGAAATCTTCTAATCTGTTCTACAGCTCCTAGGATTTATCCAATTCAAGTAACATATGGGATGGATGCTAGTTCAACACTGGTGCAGCTTTATCTTCAACTCCTCCTTTCATCTCTTAGATCAAAGCAGCTCTAAAAATATGTAGCAGTATTTTCATACCTCATAATGAAAGCAAACAAATGCACTGACGTGCATTTTAAGTAATGATTAAGGCTCTGTCAGTTACTGTTACTGTGATTTTTGTGCATGTGGGAGAACTTTCAGCTTGAACTTCCCAACTCACTGTTTTCATACTTTTAAATGTAGTTATTTTCAAGTAACTCTGACTTTCTTTAAAAGAAAGTAGACTTTGAAAATTTGCTGACACATCCTCAGAAGACTTATGTTAGATAACTGCTTTGGTATTGGTGGTGTTCTGCTGCTCTTGCATGGTTTTCTCATGTGGTGACATCTTGCCCCAGTAACTCTTTCCTGCTGGGTCCTGTAGTCTCCAAAGTAAGATATTTGCATGCATCTCTGCATTTCCTCCATTTAGTAGAGCTTATTTAAAAGGCAGAATAATCCTGTGATACCAGTTAGCTTAAAAGATTAATTTAAGATTTGAAGTAAAATTTGCATTCCTTGTCAAAAGTGGCTCATGGGAAGTTTGAGAAATGTAGAGGGCATGCAATTGCAGAGATCTTCAGAAAGCTTTCATGCTTAGGTTTTGGTCTTTTTGCAGGAGTTTTGATGACCAGAAACATAGTTTCAAAGCTGTACTTATCTGAAAACCCCCTTTTTTTTTCTAGATCTGGGGCTCCTTCTCCTCTGAGCAAGGTAAATATTGCCAGTTGCTATACTAGATAATTTTTGTTCAGGTGGTATGGTTTAGAACATTGTAAGGAGTTAAATTTCCATCTCTGAATCTACTTTTTAGATTTTGCCACCTAATTGACAAAATTTTATCTTTTAATGTCTTTATAAATAGTGGCTCCATAAGTGTGTCACTGATCTGAAGTGCTGCTGTGCTTCTACCAGTCAGGATGCTATGGAACTTCACCTGGATGTGATGATTGCTCCTTGTGAAAGCATAAAAGATACACATATTTTAATCTCTAGTTTTTAGGTTTTTTTTCTTTTTTTTGCTTTCACTCCACCTTAATTCTCATGTCACTGAGAAACTTGCTCCAGGATATTTCTCCTACAAATCCTTCTCTCCCTCCGCAGTTTTTTAGGAGGAAGTTCTGACTCTTTTAAAACTGTATTCGTGTGAAGAACCAGGAAGAAAGGAAGAAAATTTTCATCCATATATCTAGTTTCAGAAATGACCTTCATTAGTGAGGCTGCTGACCTTAATTTAAGCAAGAGTTGCCAGTGAAAAAGCCTTGGTTTGAGTGTCAGATAAACTAATGAGCTTTATGGTGTTAGTAATAGTAGCTCCTGGTATCCCTGGAGCATTGCCAGGTGCCACAGCTGTGTCTCATAATGGGTGTTGTGGAGGAAAAACTCAGTAAAATCTTCTGAATCTAATGCAGGGGGTTCAATGCTTGATTCTAGAGAAAGCTCTTAAATTTCTTTCTGAAAAGCCCTTTACTAAAAATCCACAACAAAACCAAACAAAAACAACAAAATGTAACGCCCACAACTCTGCTGTTTAATACAAGAGCAGCTGATGAGAACTACATGATGGCTCAGGAAGTGTTCTTACAGCTTTCACCACATCTTCCTTGATGCACATGAGAGATTGGGACCATTATAGTCTCAAACCTTACTCAAGCTTTGAGGAGAGTCTAGAAAGCTTACACACATCTGCTAGAATTATGATGATGGGATGGCAGTAGAAGAACTCAGGAGAAAATCTCTTCAAATTTGCTGTTCTTTTGCCTTCTTGGAAGTGATCAGAATGGCAAAAAGTACTAAAATTAGGACTTGGTTTCAGTTGTTAGGAAAAGGATCTCTCTAGCATGTGAGACACTGCACCAAAGCTTACAGTGTCTTTTAGAATTAAATTGACACTCTACAAGGTAACTTGAGTGTCTAAGTTCACAGAGGAGTTGCAGTATACTCTCCTGGGTGTCTGTCCTTGCCATACTTGAAGTATCTTTATCCAGAATTGGAGCAGCTAATGAAGCAAAGTCATAGGATGAGCTGTCTTTTGTATCTTTCCAAGGACTTAGCCTTGAGTGCTGTTGGTGGCTCTTTAAACTCTCTTCTGAAGGTTTACAAACACACTTTTAACTAGTTTCTAACCACTTCTCCTCTCTCACCATTTCTGTGGTTAGAGTACTGAGGTGCTGGTGTGGAAAAACAACTATTTTGTTCCATAGATAAAATGAAGAGTTTGACAGTGATAGAAGCAACTCCTTTAGACTAAACCTTGTAGAAACTTTTTTCCTTCTTTGGAGTCACCATGGGGTTTCTCAGCTCTACTACAGTCTGAAAACTTAGCTCAGTCTTCCTTAAATTTTTTCAGTGGAGAAAATAGCTCACAATAAAAAGACCTGATGTCAAAATTGGGCTTTTAAAGTATCTGTATCTGTGCATGAGTTGTCTGGGGAGAAATGCTGGTATATTGAATGTATATTTAAAATATTTCTCCAGTCTTCTCCAGCCACAACTGTTACATCTCCTAGTTCTACTCCAGCAAAAACTATTGATACATCCCCTCCAGTCGATCTTTTTGCAACTTCCTCTACAGCTGCTCCAGTCAGGTAAGTTAAAAAGTGTATTTGAGTCACTGAGCTTGATGTAGGTACCAAAGTCATACTTGTAAGAGGAGGCTTGCATAAAAGGCTTTGCTTATTTTACAAGTAGTTTACATCAGTTTTCAAAGGGATACATTATTCTACCAGTATAGATCACAAATAAACTCTAACACAAACCCCACCCAAAAAGCCACAAAAATGCTGTACAGAAACTTCTATTTGAATAGACTGTAGTAATATCCAAGTCCAGAGTAGTGTTTGCTGACCTTCAGAATTCTCTTTCTAAAACTGCTGAATATTCTCTTTTTTTTTCTTTTAAAAAGAGTTAATGAAGCACAAAGATAATGAACTTGTGAAGATTAAAATAAAAAATAAACATTTTACCTATGAGAAAATTCGGAACCTTGCTTTCAAGTCAAAACCAGAACAATGCACTGTTTCTCATTGTAACGAGCAGAAGTGATTGAACTCTAGAGATGTAAAAACTCTAAGCTCGAACCAAAAGTCTGTAAGATGTAACTAATTTAAGTGTTGTGAAGAACTTCACTGAAGAAAGAGCCTCTCCTGTTTGTTATTTAAATGTTCTAGATGAACAAGATCTGGTTTCCTAAGTAAATACCTGATTGGCTTAACCCATCAAAGTTTTGCCAGTTCTCTTCTATTTAAAATTCATTGCCTGGAAATGCAGGTTTCTTGCTTTCTAACATAGGATGATGAAGTATGGAAGTAGAATGATGCTGGTTTCAGTCACAACAGTTATTTTCTCTGTTTTTAGGGACCACCTGGCATTTTGCATTTTCTGTTTTGGCTGTTGTGGTGGGATTTCTTTTGGTTTGGTTAGCTGGGTTGGGGTTTAGGTTATTTGGGTTTTTTTTAAAAGAATTTTAAGTCTCATAAATCTGTTACAATGTCATTATCAGGAAATAGAAGTAAGTTAAGGCTCCCATCCCTGGGTTGTAGCATATTCTTGGGACTTACTACACTAGAGGTGCTTAAGGCCACTGCTCTAATCCTAAAGCCTGAAGAAAAGTCTCTATTTCATCCCAACTAAGGTTGATTCCTTAATCCAGTCATGAGGTTTTTTAAAAAAAATTTATAGAAATTCCTCCATTATTTAATGTCTCTCTTCCTTTTCTTGGCAGCTCTTCCAAACCATCCAGTGATCTTTTGGATCTTCAGCCAGATTTTGCTGGTACTGGGCAGGCAGCTCCAGCACCTGCTCCTGTGGGCGCTGCTGCTGCTGCTGCTGCTGGAGGCACTTCATGGGGAGGTAGAGAAACCTCACTATCAGCATTCCCTCTTGCAGTCTCCATCTCCTTGCCTGCCTGAACTGAAATCTGCGTTTTCTCTGCTAGCACAGGATGTTCCCAACTCACTCCCAGGCTTCTGCTGACCTGACAGTCAGGCATCCCTCTGCAGCACAAGGCTACTTCTTCTTTCCAGGGATATGCATAATAGCATAAGCTGCTTATAAGGGCCTGACTGCAAAGCTGAGGGAGCCAGGATTATGTGACTAAAAGTGAGCAGGAAGGGGATGGATGAAGGTGAGCAGGTAGGGTAGGCACTTCAAAACAGAAGAACCAGAACTTATGTGCTTATTGGCAAGGTGGGGGCAGAAACCAGCTCTTCTGTTCATGGAGCAAAGCCCACAGATCAATAGGAGGAGGAACTAAAGTAGCTTTTAAAACAAAAACGCATGTAAAGCAAATGGTGGCAATTTGGTTCTGCTGCAAATGTGATTACCTCTGACAAGTCTTAACATATTTTAATATAGTATCTTCCTTGTGTGCTTAGAATATTAATATGGAAGTAGAAGTAGAGGGCTAACTGCTTTCAAACAGGAATAACTAACCAGTGCTCTGAAATCTGACCCTCTTGTTGCAGGCAGCAGTAGCAGCTGGTGATCTGGAGGATCGCAGTCAGTGTAGGCAGTGCTCACTCCTGTGCTGTTAAAGCAAGGAATTAGGCCAGTAAATGTGATTTAACTTACACAGTTATAAACCCATTGTGGTGTAATCTGAAGAGATCCTGTGTGGCAATTTAATGAACTCATCAGCCCTCTCCCGGCTGGAATGCAACACTGAGTCATGCTGACTCTGCTGTCAGTGCTCATACTGGGTACTGGTGGCTTCTGCAGTCCCTATTTCTGTTCTTAGTTGTAGTTCATGAAAGACGACATTGTATTTTGGATACTTCCTTATGAGAGGATAGCTAGGGCTGTCATGCAGACATTGTATTGCATATTCCAGTTTAATCTGTTGAATTCGTTTCTTTTTTTGTCCCTGTAAATGTCAATTTTATTAACAGAACGATAGTCTTACCAGACAGCAAGACCAAAGAATCATCTATTCCAGGGTGCCTGGGACTAACTAGTCTGGAATATTTTGATTGTGTCCTATTTGTCTTACTTTGCCATTGCCAAACACTGAAATACAAGCTTTTGAGATGTTTGAAAAAGCAGGAAAGCATGAAATTTTTTAAGCAGTTGCTCATTCCTGCAATAATAGAAATAAAAATATATAGCCAGTTATATTGTAAAGTATTGATTTGCATAGAAACTGAAAGCTGATTTATTGTTTGTTTGGTTTTTTTTCCTTTTTGGACAAAATACCCATAGTTTGGAACTTAGGTGTTTTTATTCTTCTGAATTACTAAAAAGTTTAAAATTGACTAGTAATGGACTTAGTCTTATTCCATGACAGAAAAGGACAACTAATTACTTTCCTATGGCCAGAATTGTTACTACCCTCATTAAGTACACTTCAGTCTTATCTTGTCTTTCAGAATAGCATTTTGGTAACTTAGTAAGCTTCAGCTTTGTCTGCTTTACTGCTGGCAGCAGTCCAGGTATGATGAGCTGTTACTGCTGGAATCTTGCTTGCTTTTTTTTTTTTTTTAACTCTCTGACAGAATAAAAATATTTCACCTGGAGGGTAGGGCAGTACTGAGGGAGATCCCTAATGCGAGCTAGTGAACCCTCCTTTCCTGGAGATTTTTCAAGTCCTGACTAGTCTGAGCCATGACTGACCTGACCTGGTGTTAGGAGCACTGTTATTCTGAGCAGGAGGCTGGACAAGATGACCCTCCTTCCACCCAGGACTTTCAGAAGGCTGTGTAACCACGCTGCTTGAGCTGCTTATTCTTCTGGGCTACAGCAAGTTAATGTGGAAATTCATAGAAAGTAGTACTAGAGGGAGGAAGCTGGAAGTGCTGCAGTTCAGAATAGCCAGGAAAATGTGAATATCAAATACTTCATGTTGCAGCATCAATATATATCAACAATAAACAATCCTGCTTTTCTCAGTCTCACTGGCAGTGTAGATTCTATGTATTTTGGTATATGCTGTATATTCAGTATAGTGGATTATATTGGGGTTATGTACAGTACATTGTATATCTTGCATACCTACTGTATTTCTGAATACACAACATGTCATCTAGCAAATAAACTATAACTTGTGAAAATCTACACTTCTGTGCTATCAGGAGACCATCAAGATAGGGTAATATGGTGCCTGCAGCATACTGCAAGGAGACTAGATAGCCACTTAGCAGGTAGACTAGTATTACCAAAAATACAGTAGGTCAAAGTCTGCATATTTGTGAGGTTTTACTCCTGGATATAAAAGCAAACTGACTTGAATTTCTGCTCTAAACTATCTTACAGTGTGCCTTAGAATATGGATTTGCTAACAGTATTTTTACTTTAATATTACTGTACAAAAAACCACTGTTTTTAGTTATTCCCATATTAAGACTATGTGTAGATTGCTGTGCTGGATAATTGTAATTTCACTGTATTGAGTTTTATAACATAACTAAATAACAAAAAGGCATTGAAGGCATTGAAGACTAAGCTAATAGAACTTAAAAGTTTTCCAACAGTTGTTTATTTCAAGTCTAGCTGTGAGACATTCAGCTGGTGTGCAGTAATGGGATACCAGAGTGCTGCATTTTTAATGTGCTGTTCTGTGCTTTCAGAATGGTATTTTCACTTAGTTCAGCTTGTGCCGTCAGTCTCAAGTAGAGCTCGCCCAAGGAACCAATTATGAAAATTGTAAAAAAAACTAAATGTAGGTTTTTGCTGCCTTTTCTTCAAATGTTCTAAAATAAAGACAAGTTTGTGAAGATAGGGCTGCACCTGCTGAATCGTTTTGCTTCCAAATGCTGACTCACAGTAAAGCATCAGGACTCTGCTTGCTCTTTGGTGTGGATCAGATGAACCCATGACCCTGTTATGTGTACAGAGAATCTAGGAGCAGCACTGAGATACTGGTTAGTAAATAGGTAGTGGCTGAGCTCAGACTATCCTAACAACAGAATAAAAATTTAATAGGATGAACTCATTAGATTTTACATGTTTTTGTATCTCGCAGTTGGTTTTTATGTAGGCAAAATTTCTGTATTTGAGCTCAAGCTGACTGATCTTAGAGGACATCAAATTGTTGGAAAGTCTGTCATTAAAGATGCTTCATTGGCTTCCAGAAACAGTTGACTAATGAGCCAAACTTGGAGCAGAGCCAGTCTGCTTATGCTTATGCTGTCAACATTCATACTCCTCGTAGCAAGTGTTAACAGAGTTAGTTGTTCCTGCAGAGCATGTTTGCTCTATCATAAATGCAGAAAAAGCTCTTGAAAAGGAGCTGGTCTATTGATTTATTTATTTATTTTGCATTTAACAGTTGTCCCAAGTCCAAGAGCCACCACCTGTTTGTCTCAGAATATATTTGAGGACTAGGGATGCCATGTATCATATCCTATATAGTCACACTATTTGCAAGCTGCTCACTGCTAAAGTACCCTTGCTTTAGTGCGTGTTCTGTGACGGGTTCTAGGGATGTATTGGTTCTGTTTTGAAGAGTTACTAAACAGAATGAGCTTCGTCATGTCAGAATTACTACTTGAATGTTAGAAAAGCAAGTGTAGAAATTATGTTTCTAGACATGTGATTTAGAATGAACATTTGGCTAACGAACATCTTCAATCTGGCAGTTCTACTCATTACTCTGTTTTTTTTATTCTGCTGTCATTTTAATGGACAATCACTAGACCTCTTGGGAGAGGGTGAGTAGTATTTTCGATTTCTAAGACCTCTGTATGTTAAGACTCCTTACTAAAAGCTCCAGCTTTCTGGAGCTGAGCGACTGTGTTCTCTGCCTTTCCCCTTACCTTTCCTGTTTGATCTTCATTACCTGGTTGCATATAGATAATCTGGCTGCACTTTCCGGTGTTACCTCTGAGCCACAGATTTCAGATCCATTTGCCCCAGAGCCTACTGCAGCTACTGCTCCAACTACTGATACTACAACTACTACGGCTGCTGCTGCCACAGCCACCACTGTCACTGCTGCCACTGCAGACGTGGATCTCTTTGGAGGTTAGTTTGGTTGCTGTAGTGCTCTACACCAGTTCGTGAGGCAGTCGAAGCAATATTGAGCTCGGCTGTGTAGCAAGGCCTCTGGTTTAACCAGCTGTACCAGATGTGCCTGTGTGTTGGATGCTAGATGGAGCAGGAAATATAAACTGCCCAACTACCTCTGTTTGCTGTGCTTTCAGCTAATAGATTCCTCTGCATATATATATATGGAAAAATATACGGAAAATTATAAACGTTAAGACTGAGTTACCTTATGATTGAACAGCTAAGAACAGTGGTTCTCAGGTCCACATGGGGGTAAGCAGGAATTGTTTCCACGTTATTCAATAACTATGCACTCTATTACAATTTCTGAGAAAAGCAGCTGTACTTTTGTCGTTGAAGAGGATGGACGTTACAGTGTCCTCCCCTTTGTTAAGTGTCACTCTTATGCTGTGTTGTGTTTCTTTTGGGTATTTCCTGCAAATAGAGTAACAAGCCAGCTGAAATTACTGTATTTCACCAATCTTGAATCTGGGTTTTATTTCACAAATACTCGCAGTAAGTTGAAGGGGTGATGAACTTGTACTAAATTGCAATTATGCAAATAATAATATGCAAAGGGGAAAAAGGAAAATTATTCTTAGAGTTTAGTCTTGCTCATTCAGTTTCTAATATTATCTGCTCTCCACCTGAGTAAAAATACATTTCCCACTTACATTGTCAGTTTTCTTGGTACTCCTGTGGAGCAGGAGGCTTCCCAATGGCATGCCAGAAATTATGTTTCTTTTGAACAATATACCAGCCCAGTAATGGAGAAATCTCGTTTGCAACGTATGTTTAAGATCACCTGACCACTGTGTTTTTCTAGTTTTCTCTTCTCTTGTCTCATGCATACTTCCAGCATGACAGAGGATGTCAGGAATAAGCAGTAACTTACTTGCTATCAAGACGGAATTCCAGTATCTTCTCTGTGGGGGGTGTGTTTATCTGTCATTTCTACTGACAGGAGTGCCAGAGAGGCCTCATAAATAAGCAGTTTGACTATAAAGGTGTTTCCTTAAGACTGAAAGTACCCAGTTAGAAGATTATTTTAGTTTAGGACTGGCTTCAACAGAAAGCACAAAAATATTCCCTGGTAAAGTGCTGTAAAGCTGTAAGAAAGGAATACAACTTTTACTTGCTGCTTACCCCTCCTTTTAAAAGATTGATAATAATCCAAGTGCCACAAGATCAGCCAGTTGAGAAGCAACTTCAAAATCATCATGGGCAAGGTTCTGGATGCCACTAGGAGTGGGAAGGAGTCTGATGTCTGCTCTCAGGAGCTTTTTGCAGAAGTTGGGGTCTGTGCTTATTAACAACCCTGCAGATGCATGGAGTGTGAAACTTAACAAACACAATGAGGTTGAGCCAGTCTTGGATACTACACCTTCAAATTGCATTATTTTTTATTAACTTAGTAATTTACTAATTAATTAATTTAGTAATAGGTATGTGACTTTTTGAAAAATGAAAGAATAATTAAATGGATAGAAATCACTGTAAACTTGAAACAGGATTAGAAAAACAACTACCTGTGCTTATTCTTCCAAAACTACAGCAACAAGATGCAGGGTTTTTTTTCTACCTTTTCCATTAATCTGTGCCTAGAAAAACAGCTACTGTCAAATCATGTGCTTGCTTCCAGGCTTGTCAGGCAGAGACCTGGATGTGTTTAGTTCCTAGAGATTTAACTGATCATTAGATAACTTAGTGACGCTTGTTAAGAAGTGGAGCTTCACCCTTCAGTGTGGAAAGAATTTCAGTCTTGCAGTATGCAACTTCTGTGACTTGATCTCTTCCTTTAAAGAAAATGTATTTTGTCACTCAAATGCAATAAATCTCCAGTGGATTATATATTAGATGCATACTGATTTTTTTTCCTGGAACACTTCAGAATGAAGCAAGGTTCTATTATTTATAATAGCAAAAAACCTCTAGTTCTCAATTTGAAAAATCTCCTAACAAACTCAGCAGTAAAGATACTTTTGCAATGCCTTCAAGACATCCAGTAGACAGACTAAGATCCATGAGTCTGTACTGAACTTCCGTTTCTCTGCTCATGGTTTTAGTGTTTTGTTTCTTTGAATTTTTTTCCTAAAGCTGTGCTGTAAATGTATTCTAACATCATATACTAACATTCCTTGTTACCTTAAGACTGTGTCCAGTACAAGCAGTGATTGTTCTTGGGCAGACACTGCTGCTCTCTAGTTTTTGTGATGCTAGACATGCTTACACTTAATCCTGTTAAGTAGGTATTTCACCTTTGAGGTCTGCTGGAGGTACAGTCTTCAAGGTCACCTTAACTTCTTGCAGCTTGCCAGTGCTTTGTTGCTTCACATGATTTCTTGTGGTCAGGTATGGTAGGAGAAAGTACAGGAGCAAGAGAAGGATCTCAGGAGAAAGAATGTAAAGCGTCTTCAGGGAGTGCCTGTGTAGGGAAAGAAGATAAAAGCTGCAGGGAAAGGGTAGCCAAGCTGAAGAAAGAAGCAGCAGAGGAGGCTTTGGAATAACTGTTGACTGCACTGTATGGCTGAAACTTCAGCTGATAGGAGTCTGCATGCTGCCTAGGACTGGGCTTTGTCTTTGGGAGACAAGCTCTGTATTATGTGTTCATTGCTAATATGGTATTGGAAAGCAGATGAGAAATGCAGGATTGATCCAGCATAGCTTTTTTTAAGAACTCCATCTGATTAATAGGCAAGCTTTCAGTTACTTGGGCCATCTTGAGGAACTCCTAATCGTGTTTCAAAGATAAACAAGAGGAGGCTGTTTTCAAAGTGCAGCTGGAATCATTCCTATGAACAAGAAATTCAAAGGTAGAAGAAAGACAAAATACCTTGAAGATGCCACTCAGTAATAGAATTTGGGCGCATTATTTGTGGACATGTGTAATGTGTCTTTGAGTTACATTTTGTTGTGGGATTATTCTGTAATCAGTGCAAGTAACAAGTCATGGCAGACACTGTGCAGATCTCAGTTATTAGACATTAGGATGACTGGAATTGTAAGTGGGTAGAGCTGTGGTCTTCCTGTAAAGAAACTACAGACAAAGTGATGAAGAGTTTTGGCAGTTAAGGGCTAAGGAGTGTCTCTTATGCTGGCACTTGCTGGTGTAGCAAGCTAGCACTTAGTTAATAAATATGAAACAAACAACAAACACTTTGCATAATTATTATTATTTCCTAGCTCTGAACATAGTGAAATATTTCTTTATGACTCAGGTCAGGTTTTCTATGTCAAAAAGTAATGAAGGGTGACTGAAGAGGAAAAAAATCTGGGAGCAGTTTCTTGTATATGCTTATATGATCTTTCTTCTACTTGTGACTTCCACAGGATTGTTTCACATGTTTCATAATACATTAATGATTATAAGTCAGTTGTATCATCTGTGTGAGTAAATTTGTCGTGTATTGATGCCATGGCATCAAATAAAGCCTGAATTTATGAGATGAAAGTGATCACTCTGCAGGAACACTTATTTTGTGCAGATAATATGTATTGAAGCACTACTTCAGAGTGTAACAACTTTGAAAATCCCTAGTTTGCACATCATTTCAGTAAGACCTATATTTATGAATTCAAGTATATTCAGTATAATTCAGTATAATTTATGCCCATCATTCCTGGTAGATGTTCCATGAAGTGTGAACTTGCAAAGGTTTCAGCAACATCACTTTAAGTTTTAAGGATGTCAGGAAAATCAAGTGAGGACCATATGTTACTTGATTCTAGAAGTCAAAAGCCAAATTCACTTTTTAAACAGGAGATGCAAAAATATAAAGAATACAGTAACTGCTTTAAAGGGAGAAAGTTTCTTACACTTCTGAATGTGCAAATCTAGTGTTACTACAACAATATGGAAGAACAAAAAAGAAAATAAATTGTCCTTATTTTAAATAATTAAATATGCAGATTTAATTGTATCCATTTTTGAATGTTGTGCTAGATTTTTAGAAGAGGGCAACTGTGCAGGATCAGCAGAGCCTTTTGAAAAGAATTTTATAAGCACTAACTTAAGAAAAACCCAATGGCAAACCCTTGGTTTAAACTGAGTTGTAGGGTCACATGTTTAGGTTGGTTTGTCTCTATGTTCATACAGGTTTCTTGAACTAATCACAGAACCGATATTAGGAATTCTTACTGTGACATTTTTCATTTAGATTCCAGTATGAACTTAGGTGTTTATCCCACCTGCCATTTAACCCAAGTCTAATGCTAAAAAAAAATTGCAGTCCTTGGCAAGAACCTTACTCAGAAGTGTCAGTAAAAAATAAAGTTCGTGCCAAACTGTTTCCTTGCATCTGTGGGCTGGAAGGAACTTATGCCCACCTGAATATCTATGACTATATACATGTGGAACTTGAATAGCCTACATCTGGACAGGAATAGATGTCACTCTGAGGCTGAAGTGATCCCAACATAGAACTAGTGACTAGCTCTATACATTCTGAATTTCTGCCTTAAATGTCATCTGGAGTCTCTCCTTTCATTCTGGGAAATAATTATAAGTAGGGTTGACCAATGTCTGTGCTGTTGGCCTACAAGCTTGTGTGGGCAAAATATGATTTTTTTGAAAGAGCCCATGGTGCCCCTTCATCTGAAAGCTGAAAGCATCTTCTGCCCCTTGTAGTGCAAAACTGAACACACATGATGCTACACAAAACATCTTCTCAAGCAGGATGGTGCAAATCTCTTCAGTTCAGTTCTGTGCTGAATTCCTTGCACACAGTGCACGCCAGTGCCTGGTACACATACAGCACTGGGATGTTTGACTCATTCTGATGTTTGTACTTGGACAACTGCCATCCAGTTTTGTTGTTGAACAACTCTGTTACTTGGAAAATAGAATTATGTTCGAAATGGCTTATTAGCAGGCCTTTTTTGCTACTAACTCATTTTAATTCTATTGTACAAGACCAGTGGGCTTTCTTATCTTCTGTTGAAGTTTTGATGCATGTTCTTTTGAGCTTTTTAGATTACCTGGCACAAATTTGTTTTTAAAATGGTTGTTTTCATTTTAAAATTGACATTCAAGTTAAAGCATGTTAAGCTTTTTCCTGTGCTAATTTGACAGTTCAATTGCAGTATTCCCCAACAGATTTTTTTTTAACTTGCTAATTTTTGTAGCAGTAGAAAAATGTCCTTTACAAGCATCTTGAAGTCTTTAGTCCTCATTGTGCAGTCTTTTTTTGTGAAGAAAATGCTTGCCTATGAGGATAGTCCAAATGGCACTGTCCATTAGGACTACTTCATAGAATTAAGAGCTCAAATGCTGGTTTAAGCCTAAAAATAATACTGTTCATAGCTTGAAATTTAAGCATGCCACTTAGGAACTGGCAAACAAAACGGAAAAAAGCAGTCAAAGAGCAAGTGGCAAACAAAAAAAAAAAATCGGAAAAACCTCATGAGCAAGTCATTTCAAAACCCCAAACTAGCTTCTTTCCCTAACTTGGCTGGTTGGCCTAGAAGTGAACCTAAAAGGACAGACAGGTTATGGCTCACCAACCATCGGTTAAGATGAACAATCTTGATCTGTTTGAAGCAAGCTGAGTAAATATAACCTATGCATCAGGTTATGGCTTCAGAAAGATCCAGTTGGAATACTGTTAAGAAACAAGTAAGTTCAATTTTTCAGATGTTGCATGACTGACTTGGCTCAAAGACTAGAAATGGTAGATGCAGATATCTATCAGAGTAATTGGACTGTTATTCATAACAGTGCAAAGCACTATGCAAGTAAACTCACAGATGCAGATTAATCACATATAATACAGGCTTTGAGCATGCAAGTTGTTAATATCTGCTCTTAAGTTAATTTTGTTAATTAGTTAATTTTGGGTAGTACATGAGCATGCTGCTCTGAACCCTTATACAATGAGAATAATGCCTTCTTTTATACTCACTGTGCTTATTGTGGGCAACCAAAGAATCTCCATCTGCAAACCCTGTCTAGAACCTGCTTGTGTGGGGTTGGGGGAGAGACAAAGCGTTTTGCACTGCATGACTTGTCTTGCTGTTGGAGTAATTACATTCATGTTGTATAAGGGGATCTACCTATGCAATTTAACTTGGTTCTTTTACTATATTTTTCTTCTCTTTATTCTTTTTTTTTTTTAATTTCTGTTCTTAAACTGCATCCAAGATGCCTTTGCAGCTTCTCCTGGGGAAGCCCCTGCAGCAGCTGAAGGGGCAGCAGCACCAGCTACCCCAACCCCTGTAGCAGCAGCTCTTGATGCATGTTCAGGAAATGGTGGGTTTTATGTCATTAGATAGTCTCATTTTGCTGGTTTTTGTTTGTTTTTTGGTTTTTTGGTTTTGTTTGTTTAAACTACATGGCAGTGTGTTTTTCTGAAAATTTCATACTGTTTGCAATTGGTAAAAACAAACCTTAGACTGAAGAGCATGCTTAACAAAACTGCCTGTTCCTGAGTCCCGGTGACTTTGTGTTTATTTGGTAGTGCTAATGAACAGTTCTGTCAGTGCTGAGTTGTAAAGCAGTAGCCTGGATAGTCCTTTGTCATATTTGACAAAGAGCCTTTGAAAGTTCTCCCTTCTAGTAACTAGACTGCTCAGCCTTTTAGGCAGAATTTATTTTAGACAAACTTAAGTAATATGTCTGGATAAGTAAGCTAGATGTTAGAGCAACCTCCTCTGTGTGCGTGCGTGTATTTGCAGTATGTGCATTGCCTATAGTTGCTGTGTTCTTGACTTCCTCCCTCACTTATCCTAAGTATGCATACACATATATTTCCCCTCTCCTTTTTACAAGACCCCTTTGCCCCATCCGAAGGTAGTGCAGAGGCTGCTCCTGAGCTGGACCTCTTTGCTATGAAGCCAACAGAGACTGCTGTTCCTGTAGTTACCCCTACAACTAGTGCAGCCACTCCAGTTCCTGCAACAACTCCTTCTCCAGCTGCTGCTGTTGCTGCTGCTGCTACTGCTACTACAGCTACTGCCACTACCACTACTACTGCCACCACTTCTGCTACCGCCACCACCTCCGCTCCTCCTGCTCTAGATATATTTGGTGGTAATTTTGTTTTTAACTCTTTGATTCTGGTGGATTGATCTGTCAGGAGTACCAAATGAACAATTCGTTGTTGCATGCGTGTTGTGTGCTAGGCTTTCAAACCAGAGAGCCTATTAATTTCACATATGATGTGCAAAATTGGAAACTTCTGTTTTCAGTCCTGCCTTTCAAAAATGAGTTAAAGATGTGTTGTGTTCTTGGCCTTAGATTTATTTGAGTCTGCTCCTGATGCACCTGCAGCACCTAAACCAGATGCTACTCCTAGCATAGATCTCTTTGGTACAGGTAAAGAGACAATTCTTCCAATACTCTGCTGCTTTGAGGCTGTGCAATGGTGTAAACTGTTTTGAGTGATACTTACTTCTTGTTTTTTCTTTCATTTCTGGAAGATACGTTTTCATCTCCACAACCTGCGGCTTCTCCTGTGCCTGAGAGTTCTCTCACTGGTGATCTTTTATCTGGTGAGTGCTTGTTTTCACAGGCCATTCCACATACTTCCTGGGTTTGGATTTTTTTCAAAGTAGAAAAAAAAATCAACTTACTGCCAGTTTACATCTTTAAACTGAAATATCAAGAAACATTAAAATTTGGGTTTGCTGCTTTGGTCACGAGATGTGCACTTGCTGAAGATACAAATCATGAAGTGGCTGACACTGAAGTTCAGTAAGTAAGTGATGTGGTTGTTGAGAGAGGAAATCCTCCTCTAAGCATAAGAAAATAAGCAATGTTTTCTTTAAAGTACTGTGGTTTTCAGTTGCTGTGTGAGAAATGTAACACTTTCTGTTTGCAGTTCCGGAGACTATTACCTGAATTTACCAAACCTGTGGTTCTAACTGTTGGAGCCCACGTGGCTTTGAAATATTTAGCTATCATTGTTGCCTTGCTGATACTAAATATTATTTATCCTATGCTTACTGCAGTGGATGCATTTGCAGCCCCCTCTCCTCTACCCACTGCCTCTCCAGCAAAGGTGGATTCTTCAGGTGTGATTGACCTATTTGGTGGTGGGTATTTTTGTTTTCTCACCACTTCAGAGTTGAATCACTTCATTTCAATTACCTTTGCGCTTTGCTAAAGCTGCGGGTTTCCCCTTCTCACTACTTTTCTGTGTGGCCTTAGGGCTGAGCCTGGCATGTCTGGTTCTTCAAATTGCACCATAACGAACTGCAAATAAGCTGTTGGTGTGGTCGTTCTGTTGTCATGACACTTGCCATTCTGTCCCCATTCAGTGCATGTGTGGCTCTTCCTCGGATGTCCAGTGAAATTCTGCTCCTTTTTTCTTCTTTGCCAATCTCCATGGTCATGCTGTTTTCTCTCAGTTCCGTTTCTCAAAGCAGCTGAAGTTTTGGGGGTGACTTGTCTAAAACTGGGTATGTCTGAATCACAGGACTTGACAAGGTGGAAATTAGGATGGGCACAACCAGCTCTAGGCACGTTGAAGAACAGGAGGGGTGCTTAGAAGCAGTGAACTTCAAATATTAGTGAGATATTCCTCTAAAAGGATTTCATGTGAGCTACTGGCTTCTGGCTGGAATTACTCTAAACTTTCAACCAATGCATTCATCTCCAAAGCCCTGTTGTCTTGAATGCTGTGATTTGTATCTGAGAAGAGGTCCAAATAAGAGAGATTTCAAGTGCTGGTTTGTTGTTCATCTTTTTTTCCACCTGAACTTTGCATCCATGTTACTGCTCTGCAATAAGGATGGCCAAGCAGTTTCATTTTCTTCTTCTGATGCATGAAGTGGCTATTCTTTTTTCATCTTTTGATAAGTGACAAATTGATATATTTGATATTGAATGCCTCACTTTTTTTCTTGATGCTTTCTGGAATTCCCTTTAGATGCTTTTGGAAGTAGTGCTTCTGAACCCCAGCCCACAACCCAGGCTGCTTCTAGTTCCTCAGCTTCTGCAGACCTACTTGCTGGTAATAAAGAACTTCTAAAAACATATTACTTTAAAGCAATACTAAGAAATGGTGTTTGAGTCATTTTATGTTCCTTGGGTGTAGATAGTGGAAAAAAAATACTCGTTCACAAGATTTCTTAGTACTTTAGGTGTTTTAATTAAAACTAGAGTGATTTATAATGGAGGCAATATACTCAATTACAAGCTAATTCCCTAGATTATCTTCTTTCCATGTTCTTTGTTTTCCTACCTCCCACACAGCCTTATTTTTCTGTACTGTTCACTGAGTATGAATGTCTCCATAAAGTTTCTTTGGTTGTCTGTAGCAGTACTAAAGTGAAGCAATATTGCAGGCTATACTTCTTGTTCCTTACTGCTAATTAAACTTCAAATTAATTCAGTTTGATTTCTTTAATTGGGTTAAACACCTAAATGTTAGTAGCTTGGATGACTGACTTGGTAGCAGTCTTGCATTTAACCAAGGGGAGTGGGATGATGAGAGCATGCTTTTCTGAGCACAAGGGCAGAGAATTGATGGAGACCCTCTGCTTATATTGGGTGAGATGAGGTCTCTGCTAGTGCTGAATGTGGCATCACTGTCACACCCTATATCAAAGGTTGGGTAACTCTATTATTTTAGTCTGCACCCTACAGATAAGCAGCTTCAGCTGAATTCTTCGTGCACTGCTTTCCAAAATTCGTGCTATGCCATGTATTGTAGTGGCTACAGTGATTGAGCTTAATAGCTGTGTTTCGTCCCCATCCCAGTCTGAAGTTTGTAGACAGCAAAATCCCAACACATGCACTTCTGGTTTATAGAAGACTTGTCTTAAATCCTCTCGTGTTTCTGACAGGGGAATTTGTGTCATTATTTAAATTGATGCTACCCTAGCCAAAAGCAGCACAGTTTGTAGAATAGGTGGGTAGGTTATCACTACATTTTTCAAGTACCTGCTTGGAATGTGGACATTGTCTAGTTGTGCTACAGGAAGGAAGAAATTGTCTAGACAATAATAAGGCATATATCCATTCTCAATCAGCAAGCCAGATTCTTAAACTAGGACATAATGTGTAAATGCATGCTGAAGCTTTAGGACAGACTGCTTGAGATTTTAAGGTAGAAGACTACCCTTTTTTTCATATTGCTCCAATAGCTTTTTGTATTAGTTTATGGATGGCTTAAGGCCATGGATCAGGTTTTAACTAATAGATTCTGGAACATGACTATCTTTTGCAGTTACATGTGTTATCAGGAAACTGGGTGCAACAAGGTTGTTTGGACAGAAGCTAATTCTGCTTATGTAAACACTACAATATAAAATATTTTATGTTGTTATCCATAACTAAGCTTAAATGCAAGTAAGAATTATGCTCCAGATGGCTTTAAACTTCAGCAATGTGCTCTCTGAATGTGATGAGTTACATTAAATCAAAACCTAAATTATAAAAGGGATGTTCTAAGTCTAAATACTCAAGCACACCTGAAGCAGTTGGGGTGAATATATGATTTTTTAAAATTTATTTTGTTTATGCTTTGAATATACATTCCAAAGGGCTCTAAGTAGATTTGATTTTTTTTTTTTTTTTTGAGACACAGGAAGTCTATAAACATTGCAGCATATTGCTAAGCATTTGTTCACTCTAGATAATGGCAGATGTATAGCCTGCAGTGTAATCCAGTTTTAAATTTAAGGGTGTCTGGAGTTCATATGGTGGCTGAAGGCTTGTCCTTCAAGGTTTATGGGTGTTTGGTTGTACTAAGTGTTTATATGCATAATGTTATGAGTACACTTATTATTCATAATTGTCTTAAGTGTTCTGCTGTCAAATAAGTTCCTGCTCTTGGCTTGCTTAGAAAATTTGGAAGAAATTTTTTCCTACTCCAAGCTTTTGAGCAGACAAAACTGGAACTATGCTGATAAATACAAGCCTAGCCATTTTCCCTTCTAGAACTTTCTATCCAATTAAACTGTGTGCATGTGTGTCCTAGTATGTATTGTAATAATGTGTTCTTATATGAAATCTTACTTGACTGTGTAAAAGCAACCTCAAAATCAAGCAATTGAAGGTGTCCAGACAACACATCTAACTCAGTTGCTGCTGTTTCTGCAGACTTTCTTGGAGTCTTGTGCAATCTCTAGACAACTAGGAATTTGGTTTGTTAAAGAATTTTTGTGGCTTCTGTGCCTGGTATTCCTCTTAAATTGTACAAGGCTAAAAGCTATGGAATTAGGATCAGTCATCAGACAAATTTTCACCAGAAGCTGGGGAGTCCTCTCTTCTGTAGCTGGAAAAAACAGATACTTTATGGGGCTTTGAAAAGGTTACAGAACTTTCTAAACAGAATCTTATTAATGGATATTGGATCACACCCTTCTTCCAGGCTCCTTGTTCTCACTCAGGAAGTGGAAAGAGGCTCTTTAGATGGCTCCTGTGCTTTAGGAATTGCTGCAGTGAACTGTTATCCCTGGACCTGGTCAACAATCCTCTGGTCTGATTCTGTGGAGAGTAGCACTTTTGTGCAGATAGTTGAATGCATGGAGCTTTCCCTTGGGCAGGTGATGATCGAGTGTCAGTCATGTTTTAGCAGGTGTCTGCTGCAGATACCTCCTCAAGAGGAGGCGAGTGGAGGAAGCCTTTTTTAGGCAGCTGAAGAAAGCATCACTATCACAAGCTTTGGCACTTGGGCAACTGGAACCACCACAGTGTGTGCTGGAAGGGAGATGGGGAATGCAGCTGGGCATGGGCAGTCTGGAATGTGTCAGAGAATCTCTTGATGTGGATCAAGGCATACCAGAGTGAGTTCAGTGGAGAGCCATAGAGATGGTGACTTGTGCGTATGGCATATGCAGAGAGGCTGAATTGGGCTCATTCAGCCTTGAGAAAGCCAAAGGGAATCCTTACAGATGTCTAACCTCACAGCAGTATGCAGAGGAGACTAGCCAGGTTCTTCTTGGAGGTGCACAGATAATAAAAAAGGCAATGTGTGTGGGAAGCTCATTAAATCCTGTAATGGTCTGATATGACAAGAGGCCACCCCGAAAGCCAGTAAAATCTCCTCTTGGAGGTGCCAAGGCAAATGTCTGGACAACCCAATTTGATTAGACTGACTTTAAACAGGGTGTGTAGCTGGTTGACCTCCAGAGATCTCTTCCAACCTACATTATTCCGTGCCGTGTGAGGAACAGACTGTGGCAGACCTCTGATCCCAGTACATTTTTCCATAGTCAGGGTTAGCAGCTGTGAGCATGAGACTTGTTGTGGCCTAGGATTTGGGCTATGAGGGCTTCTTGGTTCCATTATACTGAAGTAAGCCTCATAAACATAGGGAAGCTCACATAGGCTGTTGAAATGTTCTTTATTTTATAATGGTCTAGTAAGAATTGTATTTATCATTCCACGCTCTGTAGAATGAAGTTTTGGTAAACACAGTTTAACAAGGCTTGCTCTAATGTCTTCGCCTCTCTTATGTGTTTCTTTAAAGGCTTTGGAGGTTCTTTTATTGCTCCCTCTCCATCACCATCCCCAGTCACTCCAGCTCAAACTGGTTTACTACAGCCTAACTTTGATGCAGCTTTTGGGACAACAGCTCCAACAACTGGCAGTTCGTTTGATGCATCAGGTGAGCCACAGGGTTTCTTCCTGTGAATTTTCTAATGTGTTTTGTGTGGTAGATGAGTAAATGACACCATGTTAAGGCTCTGAGTACAAGCAATATCAGTGACCTCCTTTTTCTTTCTTACTGGAAGAACCTCAGGGTGGTGATGAGGCTGGTGTGTGCCCAAGAGCTCTCTCTGCCCATTTTTTATTCTACCATGTCAGTAAAAAACAAACTAGCCTATACATCATCCTTGCATGTGCTTGATAGCATGAATCAGGAGTTACACAAGGAAAACACTACTCTGTATATCAAGTATACAGGCAAGTCATCTTGCCACTGCTGCTGATGGTGCTCTGGAGCCTGCATGGCACCTGAGGGTACACACAACAGAAACTGGCCTAGAGTTCTTTGCCTGACTATAAGCTTAAACTTTTATCACTGCTATCATTTTGTTTGCATCTCTTCCATTCTATATTTTTCATGCTGGGTCCTTGCTACAAACTTAAAATTGGTGAGTTCTACAACTGTACAAGAAAAAAAAAAGATGGAAATAGTACTGCTGCTTGGTTATTTGGTTGCTTGCCAGTGCACATGCTACCCCTCCCCGTTGACTTAACATTAGCATGTACCTCAAATACAGATCAGAAGATAGAACTCAGGCATGAGATATACCAAGCAGTTTGACTTCAAGGGATCTAAAAAATGAATTTCTGAGTTAGATGACTGGACTAAGAAGAATAGCACTGTCTGTGTGGATGGTTCTGGTTCCTTCTGATCTCATAAGATGTTCGTAGGTTTTCCCAATTCCCTGCTGCTTGCAAGTGAATAATAACATCTTGAGATTGCCAATCCTGTTGATGTGAGATGTCAAGGTATAAGTCTGCCATTGCCACAGTAATTCTGACTGGTATTTGCCACAAGATGTTCATTTTAAAAATCTTTAAATGAATATCTCCTGACAAATGTTTGTAACTGACATCTCTGTAAGGATGGTTGTAAGAAAAATAGTGTCATGTGGAAGTGGTGCTGTATCTATGTAGATTCAACGCTCCAATTAAATCCCTTTTAGGCATGTCTTCTCATATTAGTTTTCATTGGTATAGCTTTTTGAGGATTACTGTACATTCAGTGTCTAGTAAAATGACATGCATGCCCTTGTTGGCATTACTTTTAATGTCAAATGGTGTTTCAGTAAGACTTGTGATGTGGTTGTCTGTGCTGTGTTCATTGAGCAACAGCAGAGTAGCAGGCAGTGCATTTTTGATCACATCTGCTGGTCTGACTCACTTTCCTTTCACTTTCAGTGTTTGATGGCTTAGGTGATCTTCTTATGCCAACTATGGTTCCTTCTGGTCAACCTGTAGCACCTACAGTCACAGCAACAGTCCCTGCTGCAGCAGCAAGCAAAGGCCTTGGAAGTGATCTTGATTCATCTCTTGCAAACTTAGTAGGCAGTAAGTGACAAACTTTGGGTATAAGTGGTGTGGTATGCATGTTGCTTTTCCATGGAGGCAAATACCTGTCTATTTTAGCTTGCTTCAGTATCCTCCTGTTCCACTGTGGAAACTGGGGAAGCTATCAGCAGGAATGAGGCTTGGTTCAGATAGCTGATTCACTAGGTCTGGGTTTGTCCTTCTTGGAGCCAGGATCTGAGTCAAATAATGGCATTTTTTTGGGCAGGTATGATTTGTAATATGTGACCATCCCAGGTACATTTCAGAGGCACATTAGACTCTTAATGGATGTGCCCCTTTGTAATAGATGGAAAAGTGAAAATTGCCCAAAGTGTCTGATGGCAGTTTAAGCAGCAAAGCTGGTGGACACAAATAGCTGACTTCATGTTTAATGAAAGAGTTGCAGTGGGATGATGAGTGCACTCAGGAACAGGCCTTCTCTCAAGCAGAGAACTTACCAAACATGTTCTTGAAATGCTAAACTTAAATATGTATTTTCCTGTAGTAGGAAAAAGGGATAGGGCCTTTGTAATTAGAGACCAGTAGCTGCAACCGCCCAAAAAATCTAACAGAAGATACACCTAGACTAAGGTGTAATCCTACTGAAGCTGTATGAAAGGAATACTCCCTTAGTGTATGTAAAAACACCAGAACAAAGATGTATGATGCAGACATGGCTGTTAGGTGTGGGGGAAAATACTCTGCTTAGAAGTTAGCAAGATTCTTAATCCTTTGAACCATCTTCTGCAAGTCATCTGGTGTATCCAAGTTTGGAGGAGAAAATCAAACAGCAATTTATGAGTTACAGGACTTACACTGTCACAGGACTGGTCCTGTGAGAAGAGTACTCTTGTTTTTTTTAATTTAACTTAAGACTTCTTCCAAAGGGTAATTAAGGAAACTATTTGGAGTTTCCATGTATGACAGAGCAGATAAAGCAGTGCAAAACTTATAGGAAATACATTTATGTGTATGTGGAATACAGCTTTTTATTTCCACATATGTAATGAGGAACAGAAACTAGTGATGTCATTTATGGTAAATAGTTTGGTGCTCTTAAATAACTTAACATTTTGTAGACCTAAATATAGTTACTTTGGTTTTCTTATGAAGGAAAAATTACTTTCTCAAGTGCAAAACATCTGCAAGAATTCTCAGGTATTTGGTCTAAAGAATACGTAGATGTGGCCAGTGTTCTGATGCTGTCTAAAAGAAGACAGCCAAAACTGTTTTGCTCTTGATAAGCCCAGGTGTAATTAAATGTAAGCTGTTACTTTGACATGCTTCAATTGACTAAATGTGTGGCTTCTTTTTCATTCCTTTTTTTTTTTCCTTACAATTTTCAGATCTTGGAATTTCTGGTTCTACTTCTAAAAAGTAAGTTCAACTGTGCTTAAAGATAAAAGGAGGTTTTCTGCTCTGCTGTACAGCCCTACATCTATTTCAGTGTTTATTAAGAAACAATTAATTGGTTATATGCCCCAACCTCCCAATCCAGAAAAATTCTGAAGCAAGTATTCTATTCTGTACAGGCTCCCTGAATAATTAAGGTTCAATGTTCCTGATATAGTTTTTAATCTTACTGTCTTTAATCTGAATGTTAGAAATATTTTTTTCTTGTGAATTATTGTCTTCATGTTTGATAGCTGATTTCCAAACAACTTATAATGAACAAATAGTCCAGATAATAAACTGTATCCCTCCCCTCAGTAATCTATGATGATATGTAATAGTTTTGTTATATTTTACAGATGCTGGGTGTACTTATTCTGTAGGCATTGAAATACTTCTAAAACAGAAAAGAGGTTCATTCCATGCAGTGATAAGCTTCTTTTTACAAAAAGAAATACTTTACAACATTGCATTTATTTTTTTATCTTCCTAATCTAACTGCCTGCTTGTACCCTGAGTCTTCCTCTGTATGCAAGACTTCAGAATGTTTTGTGCCTCTGTGGAGACGATAGGAAGGATCTGTACAAACACATCATGAGGTTTAGCCCCAAAATGTTGCTTCCTTCAATCTACTTCTTTCAACTGGTATATTTTTTCTGGGTAGAGCAGCCTGTAACAAAACCTGGTTTTGCGACAGCCCTTTTATTCTGTGAATGATTTGTTTCTCTTGTATCTATCAACTTTTTGCAGAACTGAATGCTTTCCTTCTTCAGCTGTCTGAGCAAGATTTCCAGCACTGAAATGGCCTTTCAAAGACATCTAACAGGCAGCTCTCCTGCCTGGCCCCAGTAGAATAGGCAGTAGCAGTCCCTCTTCCTACTTTGCAAGGGTATATGCCATATGTTACCTTCAGTCAATACTAAGTAAAACTTCTCTTTAATTCTCACCACAAAGGCCATAACCATGTAACTGACTTCAGCTTAGAGTGTTCTGGTGTCTACTGCTAACAACCCTTGAAACTGAGTGTCACTAAAAGTGTATCTTTCTGTTAATAACTGCATACACCATAAGCTAATGTAGCTGCACGTCTAATGCTAAAGTATGCTGTAACTGGTTTTCATTTTCATTGTGGAAGTATGCAAATAATAGCCTGCCTCTCTCCCTCTCTGTTAGGGGAGACCTTCAGTGGAATGCTGGAGAGAGAAAGTTAACAGGAGGAGCAAACTGGCAGCCAAAAGTAGCACCTGCAACATGGTCAACTGGTGGTGTCCCAGGTGGTCCATTGGTAGGTGGTTAATCCTTAGGTTACACTGGTATTGGACTGCTAATATTTGATGAGACTGTGCAAGCATACCTGTAGGGACTGCTCCACTTTACTGAGGCCAAAGAGTTTGCCTCTGTGTAAATTATATGAGTATTTCAAGCCACATTTTTTAAGAACAGATTTACAGCTGGTGTGAATAAACCATTGAGTAATAAATGAACATACACTAGCTTATGTATCAGGATACTGCTGTACCTGTACATTTAATACTTGTAGGCATTCCCAAGTGTGTGATTAGCCATGTGGGTCTGGCCAGAATCAGGCTCAGATCAAGTGCCCAAAATAAAACACTATTGACTCAAAGATGATGAACTCTAACGAGAGAAAATGAATAAGTTTTTCTCAAGTTTTACTGAATGAAGTAGATCAAAAGACTGCACAGTATTCATACTGATCAGGTAACTGATGTTAGATCAGGAGTGGTAGTTTATTTAGCAGGGTAAAGCAGTTGGAAAATGTAAGATTACCCTGTAAAAAGTATCAGAAGGCACTAATTTTGAGAAAAGAGGGTCGAATTGAGCTAAAAATCTAAACTTGGCACATGAGCAACTTGATCATGAATAATCTAAAAAAGTAATCTGAAGAGGAGTAATACCTCATCTCAACAAATTTCTCACAAGGCTTAAAACAGCCTCCATTTGAACAAGGCTGGTTTGGGAAAGGAAAGTAATAACTCTGAAGGGGAGCCATGACCAGTTCAGTTCCTTGCTGCCACAGCCAGGTGTTAACATGACTGAGCATGTTCCATAATGTTATGGAAGATACAAGAATTCTCTGTACTTCACTTAATGTGTTGGTTGTAACATCAGCTTTTTTTCTTAATAGAAAGGCTGGGCAATACTGTACAGTGTAAGTGAATTTTTTTTTTAATCTCTTCCTGCACTTAACTAAACATGAAGGTACTAACAGCACCTCACCTGCAATACTGTTACTACTGCTGGCTTAAAACTAGCTAGAAGCTTCTAACATGGACTTCTTGGACTGCCTGTCCAGCAGACAATTCTCAGCCAATGGGTTAAATATGGCAGTGGTGATAACCATTTCTGTGTTGTAAGCTTGAAAATTATCTCTTTACTGCTTTACTTGGATGTGAACTACCTGATGACTTGTACTGCCTGAAACTTCAAGCTTCTGCAGCATCAGCCTGGTCTTGTAGTAATTTTACCAGCTAGTCTTTCTGGAAAGCTGGGTAGATTTGATAGCATTTCATGAAATATATGTGTTGTATATACTTCTTAAAACTCATGCACTTAGGTACTTTTTTTAATCCAAAGAAACCCAGGTCTGCAGGTAAAATAAATATGAAGACAAAAATAGACCTTTTCTTCATGTCAGTGTTGAACTACTTAAGTTTTGGTCACTTCTTCCCTTTCTTGTGACCTTTCAACTCCAGGATTAAAATCAGCAGAGTCACATCAAAGCCCATTCCCTCGAATGACCCAGTGCTTAGAGGCAAAAGTAGGTTCAGTTTGTATGGCCATTTTCTTGGCATCTGCCTAGCTGAATGTTGAGCTACCATGTGTTCCTGTTAAAGCAGTCAGATCACTGCATCTGATGTCATTAACCTGTGTGGTTTAATTTCTTGCTTTTCATACCTGAGTGTCGAGATCTTGGTTTTAGTTTGGGAACTCTGTTAGCAAAGTACAGTTTTTAACTGAAATGCTCCCCAGAAAACTTTCAGACTGGAATAGAATTCATAAATTCTTAGGCAGAAAATTCAGTGGTTTTGAATCATGAGTCTGGGACAGGTTATCTTGACTTATCTCCAGCTTCCTAAGAAACTGGCATGTTTTAGTCTGGAAGCAAAGATCAACCAAAGGCACTAAAATGCAGCATTCACAGAGGTGGAACTGTGCAGTGAGTAGTTCCAGCATATCTCCGGAGACACACTCTGCTTTGAACTGTAAGTGTGCTAGCTCTTCTCCAGGTGTTGTGGGATGACTCAAGGATGTGGAGGCACAGGCATGACCATACAGTTCCTGTAATAGCTTGAGAAATTGTGCCAGTATGATTAGGCCAGACAAGAGCAGTAATGAAATTCTACTGCCATTTTTACAGCCCTTCCTTGAATGCTTTCTGCCTCTCTTCAGAGTTGTTAATAATTTAGATTGTATATATATCTGTGGAAAGGAAATATTTCGATGCCTTCAAAGCTATAAGGGGCCTCTTCATGAGAAGTTACAGAGAAGGGAGCCAAAAATATGTAGGCTGTGCTAGATAAGTGAGGTGGGGTTGCCTTTCTAAGGGTGCTCTTCTGCTGCATATCCAGTCAGACTACTAAACTAGCAGTTATCTCTTCCTGAATTCGGTGGGCGATAACTTTTTTTTGCCTTTTATTATTTGAAGTCAAGCATATGAATGAAAATGATAGCAAGATAAACTAAACTGTCCTTAGTACAGTATGTAATGGTTCTGAATGTGGTTTAAGTGTGTGAACTTATCCGTTAAGTCCAATGAATCTTGGTGCATAATTCTTTTTTCTTCACTGTCAACTAACTATAGCAGCTATTTCCTTTAGCTTTACAATCTGCTTAAGCTTTTACTAAAATACAGTGCTACAATAAGTGCCATAGTGTGTTAACGGTTATGAAATTGGGATGCTTTCTTACACTATGTAAAAGGAGAAGGAAACTGTTTTCTCAGGCCTGTTTTGAGTTGTAGTCAGTAAATGGACTCTGTTCATGAAGAGAATGGAGTCTGTCTGTCACCATTGCTTTCGTATGAAGAAACAAACTGAGCATAAGGACTCATTCAGCTCTCTCATCCTTTGAAGCATTGTGGTTTTGAGGCTTCATATGTGCTGCATAACAGTCCTACTTTCCAGAACAGCTTTGAAAATGCTGGAGACTCTGCATGGTTTCCAGATGGTTGCTGTTACATTTTTGCTTCCTTTTTTTTTTGCTCTTTTTTATTTTCATTTATTTTTTAGGCAGGAGCTGTACCTCCAGCAAGTGCTGTTCCTGCCGCGGGAGGTACTCCACCTGTCCCACAGCCGGGAGCAGCGTTTGGCATGGTGAGTGCTTTTTGCTACGCTGCTGTCCTTCCCCCAGGCAGCCCGTGCTGACTCAGTGTTGGTTTGCAGCCCCCAGCAGGTGCAGGGGTGCCCATGATGCCCCAGCAGCCGGTGATGTACGGGCAGCCCATGATGAGGCCCCCGTTTGGAGCCGCCGCTGGCCCTGGCGTACAGGTGAGCTCTGCTGCACCAATGTCCAATTGCTCTCCGTGTCTCTAGAATGTAGCTTGTGTGTGTGCATCAGCTCAGCTCAACTATGGCTCTAGGTCTGTCAATGAGATGTCATAAAGGATCAGCTGCCTGCCTTGCAGCAAATCCCATGAACCACCTTGAATTTTTTTTCAGTTGCCTTGTATGAGACCAATGGAACAGGTTTGAAAAGGCTCCTACAGCTAACTACATCCAAGATCTGGTTTTGGAGGATATTTGAATAAAGCTCCAAGTGGAACTCTTAGGCACTGCTATTCTGTTCACAGCCTACCAAAATTTACTATAGCTGCACTCAGCAGGTGATGCAGCATAAGCTGTAACACCTGTCCCAGGCTAGTACTTCAAATACAGTTTGATTTGTAATAACACTGAAAAGGAAAGGCCTTTCCAGAGGAGAGACAGGAAATTATTTAGCTGTAGAATTCTGCTTTTTGTGAGTCAGAAGTCCATCTTGCCTTTCAAGTAAGGAGGGAGATGGAAATTGATGCTGCAGCTGTAAAATCTCACTGGTAACCCTGGAAACCAGGCTACTTCCCTAGTTTTGCAAATGCTAAGCAATCGACATATAGCAAACCACACTTTTTAAAGTAGGGAACTACATTCCCAATGAATTATGTCAAGGTTTTCTGTGTAGAAATGGGAAGAACTTGAAACTCCTCTAAGTAAGAATATACTTAGTCTTGCTTTTCCTCCCACTATCTCTGCACTTACTAAGAATAATATTGTGGGACACACAAGATTTTTTCTAAAAGAGTAGTCATCAAGGTGCCAGGGCTACATATCAAATACCTCTTGTTCCCTGAGCTGAGGTAGGAATGGGGAGGATTAAGGACAGAATGTGAGAACTATTTGACCACCTTAGTCAGAAGTGTTGCATGGAACTTCAAAACCGATGTTTTCTGTGGAATAACTGTTGATTTTTATACCTATCAGAGGGGGAACCTAGTATAATCTAGTCATGTTTCCAGTCTGTTTTGGATTCTTATTTACATTACCAATGTCAAATAAATTGTACTTAAGCGCCAGTCACAGGGATTTTCAGTCGTACCCTGCAGGATGCACTCTGCTTGCTCTGAACCTTGGTTTTTAACATCTAACAATTGTCTGTCTTCTGTCTGGGTTGAAGATCCTAACTCCATTCTGTCTTACAGGGACCAAGTGATCTGAAGCTATGCTAATTAGGATCTGCAGTATCTATAGCCCTCTCCATTAAACCTGCCAAACATTGTTAACCCTGTAGTAAGGATGGAATCCAAACAATGCTTGAGCTAAACGGCACCGCGCTGAACTTGCAGACAAATGAGAACTTTGTATGCTTGCAATGTGCTTATGTGAGCACTGCCTATGCCTATCTAATGCTTGTGTATTCTTGTCTGCTTTGTTTTTTTCCTGCCTTCCTGGCTGGTGTCTGTCAGCTTTCTCCAAGCCCAACTCCTGCTACTCAGAGTCCCAAGAAACCTCCAACAAAGGACCCATTAGCGGATCTTAACATCAAGGATTTCTTGTAAAAGATAAGGTATTCTGTGGCTGCCTGCTCGAGCATGTCACACTGTGGTACATGTCTGGCACACAGATGTTGTTTAGGTTGAATATGACAGATAAAATCGCAGCTGCAGAGCTAGAAACATGCACTGTAACAAAAAACAAATTCTCTGTGACTTTAGCCTGAAAGCTTGACTCACAGATAACTTTTCCTGACAGTTGTTTTTGGGGAAAAAAAAAAAAAAAAAAAAAACAACCAAAAAACACACACACAAAAAAAAAAAAAATTAGTATCTTCAATGCATAACTTCCGTTTTTACCTTGTTTTCATTCAGTTCAAGCATTCATGTTTGGTCTTTTTATTGAAATGATTACTGAAACACTAGAATGATAACAGAGTACAAATACTGGGGGGAGAAATGCTGCTGAAGAGGCTTGTTCCAGTCTTGGGGGTATTGAAACAGATTTGGTATCATAGGTTTGAAGGTCTCAGAAAGTAAAAAATTGACCTATTCTTGTCATCAAGGGCAAGTTGTTTGCAGCTCTTTACTGCTGACAGCTAATGATCTCCCCTGCAACACAATTTTTCAAGGCACTGCTTTTCTGAATGCTAAGGTCCTGAGCAGTGCTGTGTAGAGAAACAATGGAGAAGAAGAAAAAAGAAAAGAAAGAAAAGAAATACTGAGGCGAATCAAAAAAACAGTGCTGCATAATGGAAAGAAACAAAGGCCAAAACATTATTCTGATGGTTCTGGAGGGCCAAGTGGGAATATAAAATTCAATTAAACACTTAAGCCAATTAAAGAGTAATAACGCAGAAATAAGGTTTGCATTTTATAATTAAGACTAGAATAATGTGTCTAGAATAAGGTGAGGAGAGGACAATCATTACATAACTTTAAAGCCTTCTTCATGAGTCACTTTTCTTCCTTCCTAGAGCTTAATTCTAAAATTTGTTCTGAGCCCACTCTGCAGTGGAGCTGGCAGCAGTGATTCAGGCTGCTCTTAGCAGGCATGTCCCAGTCCTCCTTCACCCTTCTCCACATTCCAGCCCCCGGGAGGTGGGCTCTGGCACTTGGCAGAGACAGCCAGGAGTGCAGATACACCCTCACTGCTGGGACTCCCTGCTTTCAACTTGTATTTATAATAGAGAGATTCATAACTGGCTGTGGGAAGACTGCTACTTCACTAGAACCTGATAGCAAATCCTTTGAGCTGTGAAGAGATGAGCAGATTTGGTGCTCTTTGTAGAACATGCTTTACTAACTCATTGTGTCAGTTTTCATCTAATACTTTTCTATATTCACAGCTGCGGTTTTTCTGACTGGATGCTAAAAACGTGATTTGGAGTCTACAAATGGATGCTCAGAGTTTCTCAGTGAGCCACCAGTACCAAACCCAGTGCTTACTCAGACTTTCTCTTCCTCCTGAAACGTGTAGCACAGCTGTGAAAGTGAACATTAGGAATGTGTACTACCTTAGCTGTTATCCCTACTCTCTCGAAATTTGTGTACTTGGGTTATTTGTGTTTTACAATTTAAACAATGGATGTATGTTTCTGATGCCTTCTAGTGCTTTTCTGAACCTATCCCATGGGGGCAGATTATGCAGCTGTTGTTTGGTGAGCCATTTGGAGCAATGTCTGTGGTTTTTGAAGGTTTCAATGTATATAACTTTTTGAGGACACCCAAAGTTTCCCTAGGACTCAATTTCTCCTTTATCTGTTACAAAACATAGTGTGATAATACCAGATAGTAAAGAAAATACTTACAAAATTGTGCAGAATACATTTTTTTTCCAGTCACAGGAATCTCAATTGTCGTGAAAAAAATGTTTTATTTTTGTGGCACTGTATATGTTAAAATAATTTAAAGTAATATAAAGGAAAACTTCCATAACAAATACTTTTTCAATGATTTACCAAGAATGAAAAATCATATCTGAAAGGATACCATATTTATTGCTGTTTTTATTTTTAAATCTATTTTAATTATTTAGGTTTTTGCATTTATAATTGGCATATTTATCAGTTCTTGCTAAATGCACTGAAAATAAGTAAAGGGTCAGTTTCTCTCCATGTAGTTGGGAAAAAAAGCAACCATGGTTGTGCTGGCATTAAGGGATTTCAAATATGAGAGCACTTTTTGGTATATCTGTAGTCAAAACATTACAAGTGATGTTACTCATCTCTGTTCAGTTCTTCTGTACATCTCTTAATTTAGTGCTTACCTGTGTATGCCTTAGGATAGTGTTTTCTCATTGCCCCGAATGCGCTGTGAGTAGCTTTTGTACTATTGGTGATTAGATTTAATTCTGATCCAGAGATCCATGCCCTTTACTGTACATACTGTGTTTCTTTAATTTTTATTTGTTCTCATACTGTTTCTGCTGATGGCTTGGTGTAAGATCTTGACTCTTCAATGAGGTCACTGTTGATCAGTGTTACAAGTGGCTTGGCAGTTCTCTGTAAAAGCATATTGGGTTGGAAAGATATTCACCTAAAGTCTTTCAAATGAACTATTTAATCAATGTATGGTACCATTAAAAGTGGTTGTATCTGAATTTGCTGTGGGGATAACATACACTGTAATGGGAAAGTTCTATAAAAAGTTAATTTCAAAATGGCTTTTCTTTGTATTTCAGTTTAAAAAAATCCCAAACAAACAAAAAAAAAACCCAAAAAACAAAAAACCCCAGTGCATGTGTGCCCTCTGAGATGCAATAAACACCTTGATCAAAGTAAATATCTCGTTGCCAGTTTCATGCTCATTAAGATGTTGACCACAATAATATACTTTGAGCTGGGAAAAATATGTTTAGGTGCTGGCACTGATTGATGAGTCTGCTGCATATGGGAATGACTTTTGTAGAATCATAGGATCATTTAGATAGGAAAAGACATCTAAGATCATAGAGTCCAACTGTTAACCTAACACTGTCACCTGTTCATCCATGTCCCTGAGTGCCACATCTACAGCTTTCTGCACTCCTTGCACCAATTTTGCAACCAATGTATTACCAAGCATGTGCTAGAGGATTGTTTTTTATAGTTTCTTTTATGTATCTGAATAACCTCATCAGTAATTTCACCTCACTACCGTTCCTAGCTGTTTTCAGCTATGCCCAGTGTATGACAACCATGGGTGAGGCCACCCTCCTGGGCACAGGGACTGCCCAGGAACCATAAAGGCCTTCCTTGGAAGGGTGCTAGGTGGAAAGGTAGGTGGGGGGCCAGGATTGCACCCCAGAACCCCCGTGTCAGTGCCACCACCTGGCACTGCAGCATTCACAATGCCCCAGGGCAGGATAAAGGGGGCATCGTTCTTAGAGCTCAGCCTTATGATGATGAGCTCACAGTTGCATCCCAATTTTCTGGATTAAAAATGGGTAAGGCTCAGCAAATCGCTGTATTTCCTCACTATTTGAGCATGAAGACCTGCACAAGTCAGCAACTGCATCCCCAGACAAGCTTACCGTGGTTTTTCCTGCCCTGCCTGTGTGCTGTGTCTTTGCCAAATGCAGGGAACGTTCGACTTCTTACTGCTGTGTTGTGCATTCTCTTTGTGTCTTCTCAAAGTGAGGACAGCATTTTCAGAGGACAATCATAACCAAACAAGTAAATGTATTTAGACCAGTTTGTTAGTGTCTTACTCAAATTGAGATGATGAGCTACTACTCACTGAATTGCAAATGAATGTCACATGTTTCAAGGGGCCAGACCTCAGGGTGAGGATTTTCTCCTTGCCAGGTACATGCCTCTGCCGCAGAGTAATTGACTTTCTACATTAGCTTTATCCATGGCAACAACCCTTGGTCCTGATTTTGATTAGTTTTCTGTAGATGTCGTGGCCAACAGCTTTGTGTGTGTGTGTGTGTGTGTGTGTGTGTGTGTGTGTGTGTGTGATTTGTTATCCTGTGAGCAAATAGAAGCCTGGACAAAAAGGAAATTTGGCAGAAGAGCATCTAGTAGCTTGTTCACTGTGGGAAGTAAAAACTGTATTTCCCCAAATGCTGACTAAGGCTAAACAAAAGTGATTTGCTCTCCCTGGCACACAGGAATTATAAAATCTGGCTTGCAGGGGAGCCACGTGGTTGTCTCCTGGCCTGTAGACAAGAACATGTTCTTGTTATCATCTGAGTTTCATCATCCAGGCACGAACGTGTCTGTGTCCTGCTATGACTAACCACTTTTCAATACAAGCTGTAGGGAAGAGTGGGTGGAAAGGAGTGCTCCCATCTGTGGAAAGAAGAAACTGTCTCCTTCCCCTGCATTTTTCATGAGGGGAGGACAGATTTCAGACAGCTGATATGTCCCTTATCCAAGTTCTCTCTGACCTGTGTGCTGACTTCTTTAAAAGCTGGCAACTCTGGCCACATGAGGCTTTTGTAGCTCCCTCTTAAACTATGAGTTCCTTAAGGAGTGGTAAACACCTGGAGAACCTGAATTCAGCCTACTGCAGAGGTTTGAAAATAATCCAACTCATTCTGCAGAACAGATTCTTTTTTTTTTAATGTTTGGTGTTATCATTGCCTCTTACTCCACTTCTTTGTTCATTTTTCCATTAATTTTAATTGGCTTTATTTGAAAATATTAGCTGTAAATGTTCTGTAACTTGAGTTGATGGCTTCTGGAGAGATGCTGGTGTTTCCACAGATGAAAGCTTGGATGGTGAGAAGTAAATTTCTAAGCTGTACCCTAAGAACCTTAGCCTTTCAGGCTGATTGCAGAATCAGGCTGCTACCTGAACTTCCATTCTTAAGATTTAGTAAGACAGCTGCAAATGCTAGCAACTTGCCCTAAAAAAAAGGCAGGAAAATCAAGAGCAAAAGCTGTTCTGGGGTGGGGGGGAAAGAGAGGGAAAGAGAAGGTTTACTTCCAATATGCTTCAATATTATGAGGTGCTGCTTACTGGGAGCTGACAGCATCTAGTTCATGAAATGTCCAGTTGCCACAGCTGACATTGTTTTGTGACATGAACATTTGCTCCTGCCCCTCCTTCCCCAGTTCTCATCCCAAAATAAGGGCTGCATGCTCACATAACTTATTCTGCATGGGGAAGGAAAAAAATCCCAATAATTCTTAATGCCTAGGCAAGCCAAGTGAAACTTGCCACGGTAGGAGTAGTGGCAGTGACACAAAGATAATACACTGAGTTAGTGATTCAGACCTTCCAGGACCTGGAATACATCAGAAATTTTATTAAAATAGAAAACCTTTTTTCCATGTGTTATATACTGCTAGTGCTGTGAGCAGTGTGGGAAGTGGCAGACACTGAGTGGTAATGAGGGGTTGAAAAGAATTTCAGAGATGGGACTACAGAAGGAGAAAGGCTGTATATATTTTAAAGCAGACAGCACTGCTATTTTTTCTGCTTCAGATCTTGGCTCCTAAAGCTTCACCACCTCTTCCCTTTCCCTTAATTAAACTCTACAAGTGGTATGGTCAGCAGAAGCCCAATGCTTGTTTCATTGCCCAAGACATCTCTGTATGCAATTAGAGTGTAAGAATAGTAGCCTTTGGGAGTTAGCAAAGGCAGTAGACCAGAAACAGAAACTGAAACAAGTGCAGAAATGTGTGTCTGGGTGTGACATCCACTGCAAGGACTAAAGTGAGCAAATCTGTTCTCTGACGGTGTTGGAGAACACCCCTGGGGAAGGGTTGGTGAATGTCCACCCTGCACAGCACAGAAAAGTGCCTACGTTAAAATCCTCGTGGTTGAACATGGCCAAGTTTGAGCCATATTTTCAAAATATGATGGAAGAGATTTCTCCATTTACCTCAATATCCTAAAATTCTAAAGTAGCCGTCTTTTTAAGAGGTCCTGCAGATCCTGCCAAAGCACTATCCCACTCAGTTGGAAGCAGACACTTCAATACCACTAAGTGCACCAGTGAAGGCACATCCTGCACAGTCTGAGCCAATCTTTCAGACTTAAACTGGTAGTTGGAGACAGGTTAGTTGTTTTCTGGGAAAGTGCAGGGACTGGTGGGATCTGGTGACACAGGGCAGAAGGGATGCTCCCCTGCCCTCCCAAGAACATCACCTTTCCATAGTCCTTGTCTGCACTTTTGCCTATCCAAGTCTGGAAAGAGGCTGACTGTGTGGGAGAGGGATTGTATGGGTATTGCATTAAGGAGGGGAAGGAGAAGATGGATGTGCTAGGAAACAGTGTGGGGGATAGATGGTGTGTTCTTGCTCTTGGGGCTCTGTCTGTCACTGAGGAAGGGGTGGGCACTGCAACATTGTGGGTACAGAGTGACCCCAGGGAGGGGGCAGCTCTGTGCCCTCAGCCTTGTAAGCTGCTGCAGGCCTGATAATGCATTAAATGTCAGCAAAAAAATTTTGTGTACAAGAACAATTTACAGCTACAAGCAGAGACGAAGCTTTAAAAGAAATAGCCTTTCATACTCTGTGTTTCTGCATATAAATAAAGGGATTTTTTTTAAATGATAGTGAGATACAAGCATAGGACAAGTGAAATTCTGAAGTTAATTTTAAGATTATACCTTATGTGTCTATGATGTGTTCTGTAATTACACCCTGTCAGTCTGGGTTGATCAATCAAGAGGGTTTTCAGTGATTCTTCTTTTCTGTAATAATCCCACACTGTCTCCAGCCAACTGAAAGGGCAGTATTGAATTTGTTTTGAAAAACATCAAGGCAAAAAATAGATCACTTCTCTTTTGAAACATGAGAAAATGAAGTTTTTAACAACAGAAGAAAGAGGGAGGGAAATAGTAACACTGAGACCAGCATACTGCATGAATAAGATTGTCTTACTCTACAGATAGACTTAAGTAATAGAGCATCTTTGAATCTGCCTTTGCACAGAAGTTCACAGCCACTTTGAGATTTTGGTTTAGGATCTATTTCTGTGGACATGCCTTTGGGAGGTAAAGGACATCATTCACCCTGTGCATGAAAAAAGAGGTTTTCAGCAGTCTATTGAAATCCCCACTTCCAGCTCACCTCCATCCCATCATGACAGTATCCAGCACCTGTCTAGCATCCCTGCTGCTCCAGGGTGAGCAGACACACTGAGCTTTCCCAGCTCTGTGTTTTGTGGGACATGAGCTGTCCTGATTTTGAATATATATTTAAATATACAAGTAAATATAGATAATTAAATACATTTAAGATTGCAGGTAGCTGGTGACTTTTCCTTGCTGCTTGGGTCTCAAATAGTGCATTTCTCTTTGCAAAAGTTTGCGATGTTGCGCCTGAATTACTGTCCCGTCACTCTCATTTCAGAAATGGTATTGATGGAAATCCAGCTGCTTGCCTCTTTTTGTTTTCTTCAAGATTTGAGTGTGCAGAATTTGCCTAAAGACCTTTTGGCTCCAAGGCAAATTGTACTGGAAGTGTGCTTCTGTCTCAAAATATTTGACTGCCTGTGATTCCTGCAGGATGGCTGAAATGTTTTACTCTCTAAGGCATGGTCGAGGCCCAGACAGGGAGAGAGGCAAGGCAGCATTCAACACACTGAACCTAATTTTGTATTGACATAAAAGTTCCATTAATTCCAGTTGTATACACATCACCCAACAGTGCATCTGGGTTCATACTTGAACAGTTTTTAAGCATCTTCCTAAACTTTTGTAAAATTAAATGAGGCTACTTATTTGGATAATTTTTTTCTCTTTTGAACTTTGTATTTTAAAATCCAAAATATGCAGATGAAAACACCTTGTTACCATAGTCCTTGTACAGACAAGAGAGTTGATTTCCAGTGATTAACAGAGACC